TTGTCATGTTTCAGCGATCGTGCAAAGAGTCTGATGTGTTCCACTGTGGAGAAAAAGGTGCATGGCAGCAGACAGCTAAGTTAAACAGAAACCACCACTTCAAAGAGCGGACGCCCTCCCGGGCCTAACCCCACCGCCAGAGGAGCCTGAAGAAGACGCTGTATTGGCATGTTTCAGCGATCGTGCAAAGAGTCTGATGTGTTCCACTATGGAGAAAAAAGGTGCATGGCAGCAGACAGCTAAGTTAAACAGAAACCATCGCTTGAAAGCGCGGTCGCCCTCCCCGCCAGAGGAGCCAGAGGAAGACACGGCGCTGACCTGTCGTGGTGACAGCCATCGTACACTGATGCGATGTACTCCGAGGAGAAAAGGTCCGCAACGGCCGACAGGTAACACAGCCCAGGTCCGCTTCAAAGCGCGGACGCCCTCCCCATGCCTGCCCCCTCCGCCAGAGCAGCCAGAGGAAGACGTGACGGTTACGTTGACCTTTCGTGGCGATAGCAAATCTAGCCGGACGCGTTCCACAGTGGAGAAAAAAGGTGGGCAACAGACCATCAAAAGAAGACACAAAAAGCAAGAGTTTGGCCCAACACATTCTGGGTTTGATGACAAGCTGGATTCAGACAAGAAAGTGGCGACTGAGAGAGAGGTTGTGTTTCGTCCTAAAACTGCACGAGGCAGGAGGGTTCTCAAAGACTCAACGTCTGATTCTAAGCAAAGATCTTCCAGTGATACCAAGGGGCCGACTCAGCTACTTGTTGTGCATCCAGATGAAGAACCAGCTGACAAAGCCAACCGCTTCAAAGCGCGGACGCCCTCCCCATGCCTGTCCCCACCTCCGGAATGTCTGACCCAAAAGGAGACAGGAGACAACGGATTGCTGACGTGTCTGGGGGACACAACACCAAGCCTTAAACTGTCTGCAGACGGACGGAAACTCGTCCCGATGACACAGAAAGATGCCGGAAACCTGGTCGAAGGTGCAGGTTTCACACCCAAACCGCCGCCCAGGAAGAAGTACGCGGTAGCTGATCCGGAGGAAGTGGCGACTGAGAAGGAGGTTGTGTTTCGTCCTAAAACTGCACGAGGCAGAAAGGTTCCCAGACACCCAACACCTGATTCTCAGCACAGATCTTCTAGTGATACCAAGGGGTCGACTCAGCTACTTGTTGTGCATCCAGATGAAGAATTTGAACCAGCTGGCAAAATTCGCTTCAAAGCGCGGACGCCCTCCCCATGCCTGTCCCCACCTCCGGAATATCTGACACAAGAAGAGTCAGTAGACAACGGATTGCTGACGTGTCTGGGGGACACAAAACCGAGCCTAAAACTGTCTGCAGACGGACGGAAACTCGTCCCGATGACACAGAAAGATGCCGGAAACCTGGTCGAAGGTGCAGGTTTCACACCCAACCCGCCGCGGAGAAAGAAGTGCGCGGCAGCAGATGTGACGTCGCCTCCCCCCGGCCAGCGTCCGTCGTCACGGGCACAGATCATGAAGAGGGAGCGGTGCAAGCAGCAAACGGAGGTCAACTTTTCCCACAGGCTCACAAAGTGGTCCAAGAGCGAAAACCTCTCGCAGAGTGTACGTGTCGAAGAACCAAAATGTGAACAGGCGAGACAGAAAAACCACTGTGACAGCACAACCTTCAAAGGGCGGACAAGGGCACGAGGTGAAGGAATGAAAGCACGAATGAAAGGATGGATGAACGAGTGAATAGGTGGATTTAACCATTACGAACGAGGTGCTGCAACTGAACGAACTGAACCATTACGGCAAGATGATGCCAAAACTACATGTAATAAAAAGAAGAAAAGAAACAAAACAACATGCACAATGAAAAATACTATTGATTCATGTTACTGTACATGTGTTACAACTGTAGAAATATTACAAGAGTAAAAGCAAATATAAATGTTTTTACATAGCATCGTTTTGATATGTCAATTTTGACGAACCTACTGTATCATGATGGGAAGTAAGTAACTTATTTTCCTTTCATTCTTTCACGTTTAGGGTTGCTCCCACCTATCAACGCATGCGCAGACGCCGCAGGCATATCGTTGAGGGGCTCACATGCGTCAGATGACATGCGCAGAAATGGAGGGGACAACAGACTGAATAGAGTACGGCTTCCTCCCATCAACAAGAAATCCTGATGTAGTGAAAAATAGAGTTGATAGCATAGTATTACATGTATGGAGATATGCAAGTCGATTGTTTTTAATGCACAATTTTTCGCCTATTAAGAGTGAAAAAGCTACAAAAATGAAAAAAAAACTCATATTTTGACCACCCTTTCTACAATTGTATATGGTTTGTGTCTATGAAACCTTTGGAAAAGTGTGGATTCCGAAGAAATTGCAAAAAGACACGATTGAAATGTGAAAAGTAAAAAATTACAAAAAAATTATTTTAGAAAAGAAAAGAAGATTCACAGCCTGTTTTGGCATGTTAACAAAAACTGTGAAAATGTGATGAAATATAATATCAAAAGAACAAAAAAGACAGAATTTCATAACCGACATATGTACGGTGTGCCTTTCGTTAGACTTTGGGTCATGTTACCCAATAAATAAATGCCAACACTTTTTACGATTCTACGTTGTGTACCACTGTTTTGTTTACAGGGCATAGTTTACTGGGAATGTTAATTTCATTATCACATGGATTTTTTTCTGTTCAGCTTACACCTTTTGCTAGCCATTTGGCAATCTTATTTGACCAAATCTTTACTCGTAGCATCCAAAGGGTCTATAGCCGCAATCATTTGAAGGTGCCAATATTTCAACCAATGACAAACACTGACAGAACGTGTTCGCTCAATATATATTGATGAAACATTGTACAATGTAGTGACTGTCATTTCACACATCAGACGGGTTGTCTGGAGCAACCAATGTGTCTTGGTCATTCTGAGTAGTCGTTGTGTCTTGGTTGCTGGAATCCGAGTTAGCAAATGTGTCTTGGTCATCCGGATCTGGAGTGGTCGATATGTCCTGAGTAGTTGTTGTTTCTTGTTTGCCAAGAGTAGTCGCTGTTTCTTGATCGTCTGGAGTAGTTGTCGTTTCTTGGTCCGGAGTAGTTGTTGTTTCTTGGTCCAGAGTAGTTGTCGTTTCTTGGTCCGGTAGTAGTTGTTGTTTCTTGGTCCGGAGTAGTTGTCGTTTCCTGGTCCGGAGTAGTAGTTGTTTCTTGGTCCGGAGTAGTTGTCGTTTCTTGGTCCGGAGTAGTTGTCGTTTCTTGGTCCAGAGTAGTTGTCGTTTCTTGGTCCGGAGTAGTTGTCATTTCTTGGTCCAGAGTAGTTGTCATTTCTTGGTCCGGAGTAGTTGTCGTTTCTTGGTCCGGAGTAGTTGTTGTTTCTTGGTCCGGAGTAGTTGTCGTTTCTTGGTCCGGAGTAGTCGTCGTTTCTTGGTCCGGAGTAGTCGTTGTTTCTTGGTCCGGAGTAGTCATTGTTTCTTGGTCGTCCGTAGTAGTTGTTGTTTCTTGGTCATCCATAGTAGTCGCCGTTTCTTGGTCCGGAGTAGTCATTGTTTCTTGGTCGTCCGTAGTAGTTGTTGTTTCTTGGTCATCCATAGTAGTCGCCGTTTCTTGGTCCGGAGTAGTCATTGTTTCTTGGTCATCCTTTGTGCCGAAGCGCCTCAGGTCCCGACAGAACCACCCAATCACTGCTTTCTTTGCCACCACCAGGCAGTGCCCCAGCAGGCCAAACGGAAGGTGCACCGTGCGTCTCCGATCTCTTTCCCACTTCACCTTCTTCTCAAGGTCAGCATCATTGAAACACAGAAAGGCAATGGTTCAAGACAATATACATTTTCAAACTTCCATCGCACACAAAGATAAAATGTACATTATCTAGTAATGGATCATCGTACACAGAGATAAAACATACATTATCTAGTAATGGATTGTGAAAATCATGATAGTAAGACAAAATTCTTTACCATAATATTCCTACCAGTTACAAAGATTGACAATTTTTTTTAATTTTACCTTTTCCCATCCTTTTCTCTCAAATATGTACCGGTGAATCATGTCATGTGGTTCTCCAGCTGGTGATCCGGACAGCATCCGGATAGTCCGGTATTCTGGCTCTACCGTGAACTCTGAGCTAAGGAACACGTTTGAAAAATCACACAAATTTGATTTTATTCCAAATTTAGTACAGCATTATATGTACATACAGGCATTGAGATGAGGAACATACTATTAGAAAGTTGAAAAAATGCCTCCGTCCCAGAGGCATTGCCAAAATAAAGACTACAAAGTTTCTGCATTTCTAATAGAACAATTATTTAGTACATGTTGAACAGTTGGGAAACATCATAAAGTGAAATAGAATAAAAAAAATACATAAAACATTCTACCCATGATAACTCACCTTGGAAATGATTGTGAGCTAAGGACGCGCAAACCATCGGATTTGGAACGAGTATCATACTGATACAACTGCCAGTAGTAGAACTCGCTCCCGATGTACAGTACCCCGTCCAGCTCGAACGCCAGGAGGGGCGTGTCACACTGAGTTGCCGTCTGCTCTGCGGTCCACGAGTCCGAGGCCGGGTCGTAGCACTGCAACATCAGGGTCTTTTGCTCACGAGGGGATATACCCCTGAAGGCAGGACGCTGTTCTTTCCTCAGACACACAACCACCAGCTTCCCCTCAACAGCTCTGACCAAGGACAAACGGGACACGGGTTGGGGTGGAGATTTGCACGGAGACCAACAGCCGTCTGCAATGTCGTAACAGTCCGCCGTGTGGTGCTGCTCTTCTGTTTGCCCGCCAAGCACGTAGAGTTTGTTGTCCACGACAATCGACTGGTGACCTCGGTGCGGGCGTGGCATGTCTTCCAGTCGAGTCCACGTGTCCGACACAAAGTCATAGCAGAACATTTCTGTAGTCCCAGCGTCTTGGTTATTTCCCACTTTGGCCATTCCACCTTAATAAAGTATGTGGAATCAATTTTTCAGTCAAAGATACATCACAAAAATGACAAACTTCAAAAGCTAAGTAATACTCTAAGTCATAAACTCTAATATGCCAAATATCTGTTTCATATTTCATATCCATGGAATTCCTCCCATTATCACAGACCTTGAGAAGCTCTTTTGTGGTGTGCTGAAAACTACTGCAACAGTATCCTTCTTTATGAAAGATAGCTGGTTTCTGGCATAGGTGTCATCACACCTGTCGGTCATTACTTTTAATTTTTTCGGACTTCCAGCAAGTTAATAACAGGGCCAACTGTCAAAGACCTTCAACGACCTTTTTCTATCACAATAAGCAGAACACATACACGACTGTCCAAAAGAATTGTCATGAGCCTTTAAATCATAGGACAAATGTGTCTAATGAAATTATAATTATCATCATCAACATTTTTTATTCGTTGGCACTCACGTACTGGCCCATAGTTAAACAGGACAGGAACATAACCTTAAAATACATACAAAACACTGTTGAAGCAGCATGACCAAACAACAAATCCAAGTAAAGCCCATCCTTACCTGTTACATACAGCCTTCCCCTGTGCAGTACTGTACTGATGTACCCCATGGCGGAGGCAGGCAGTTCTGTGCACCTGTAGAACACTCCGCTGTCCAGGTCGTAGCTCAGAATAGATGCCAACGGCGAGGAGGCGTGGTTAATCTTTTCCTCGTCTTCCGAAAATCTACAAATAAAAGATAACAATGGATTCTGTGCATCAGAGCTTCCACTTCACTAAATGTCCTACAGAATCCTAGCCTGGATGCCATCCTTCATAGTTTCCGCTCATTATGTCTTGGTAGCCAACGACATTAGGGAGCCTGCGGAAACTATGGAGGATGGCACCCAGGTTAACAGAATCCCCAGAATCTCTATCAAAAAAAATTGGCTCTACCGTGAAGAATTATGTATGAGAGTGGTGGTACATGGTAGTTCAGGGTGGGGATGGTCTTTCAGCACCAAGGAAAGAGATGGTACGTGATAGTTTAGGGTGGGGGATGGTCTTTCAGCACCAAGGGAGAGATGGTACATTGGTACATGATAGTTCAGGGTGGGAATGGTCTTTCAGCACCAAGGGAAGCGATGGTACATGATAGTTTAGGGTGGGGGATGGTCTTTCAGCACCAAGGGAAGAGATGGTACATGATAGTTCAGGGTGGGGGATGGTCTTTCAGCACCAAGGGAAGAAATGGTACATGATAGTTCAGGGTGGGAATGGTCTTTCAGCACCAAGGGAAGTAATGGTACATGATAGTTCAGGGTGGGAATAGTCTTTCAGCACCAAGGAAAGGGGTGGTACATGATAGTTCAGGGTGGGGACAGTCTTTCAGCACCAAGGAAAGGGATGGTACATGATAGTTCAGGGTGGGAATGGTCTTTCAGCACCAAGGAAAGTGGTGGTACATGATAGTTCAGGGTGGGAATGGTCTTTCAGCACCAAGGAAAGGGGTGGTACATGATAGTTCAGGGTGGGGGATGGTCTTTTAGCACAAGGCATTTGTCGTACGTGTGTCCTGGTCCTGCGACCAAAAAAATTGTAAATACTAACTAGAGAAGTAACATTTGCAAAGCAAATGCATAATGTTCACCTTTGGACATGGTCTGCCCTGTTAATTCTTACTCAAATACATTCGCATACATGTACTACTAGTATATGGTGACAGGAACAGAGCAGACCATGAAATTGCAACATTATGTAACCCAACACCAGTCACCATGGTGACAGATGTCAACAAATCATCTCATTGGTCAGGTCAGAGGTCACTGTTTGGAGAAGAAGAAGAGGAGGAAGAAACCGAGCAAAAACAATGATGTTTTCCTTCGGTAAACATAATAATGGTACGTCAAATGTGACCGAGCCTTGAAGAAGCTAACTTGGAGACTTACCTGAGGCTTTCCTCCACGGTCCACCCTCCAACTACAATGAGAACATCCGGGGACATCGTCTGTCGTAGACACACTTGGGAAAAGTCGTCACAGCTGTCTCCACCTACCGAGTCATGCTGCTGTTGCCTCGCTGCTCTGAGCTTCACCTGACATTCTTCTAAGTCGCGCACGGCTGCATGTTCGGCTAACTTTGCTAGGAGGCTCTCTTTCACCTGTGTGAGACGAATGCTGTCCAGAATCCTCGGTAAGTATGCGACACGCCTGTCCATATCTTTATCTAACCATCGCAATGCAACCTGGAAGGCGTCGTCTTCCGACTTGACCACAAGTTTCTTGTCCGAAATGAAGTCAATGAACAGGTCCGCGGGAAGGTCAAGTATTTCTTCTGAGTTAAGAACCTTCTGGAAGACTTCCAGCGCCATCGCTAGGGCGCGTTCTTTCAGCCTTGTACACGAGTAGACATCAGCGATGCAGATAACCTTCAAACAGTTGGCAGCCTCAAGATTTTGCAAGAAGACCTCTTCACAATTTGCAACCACTCTGTCAAATTGAAACATAGTAGCAGCAGCAAGGATGTCCTGGAATCAGGGTGAAAAAATAGGTTGTGACTTAAAAACTGCATACATTGTACTTATCTACTTGGGTGAAAGTTGTCAACCCCCATACATGTATAGTATCCAAGACAGGGGGCGATACAGACTTCCAGTCACCTTTGCTATAGGTTAGTGTCCCTTAAAGGGTCACATGCACTTTCGTGCTGATGATGACAATAAATGTATAGCACCACATTTGAAAGTGCACATTACAAACAATGAACCCATATTCGTGCACATGCGATTCAAACATCTCCAACCTACTTACCTGCGCGTCGTCGGTGGTCACAGTTATCTTGCCCGTGTACAGGTAGTTCAGCAGCTTGTTGAATACGTGCACACTGACGCCCTCCAGTTGCACAGTGTCTTCCTTGGTGTGGGCAAACATGACTTTGAAGTAACTGTTCCACGCAAGTACCGCACGGTGGCACGGGAAGGCCTCCTCCCCCACCTGTTGATTATAATAACATCATTTGCATAAATTTCACAAACAGTCCTGTTAAAGCACCTGGCTTATCCATCTTCAAGCAGATGAATGTTGGAAGGGAAATAGTACCGTTTTTGACTGTGACATGTTTTTTTTTTGTGCGTCAGAAAGATGCAAATTGGTCCCTTCTTACATCTGCGTGTATATAACGGTTGATGACACAAGTGCCTCCGCCCCTAAGGCGTCGCCAAAAAGACCATGTGATACCCACCTTTAGCACAATATCAGTGTACTCCCCTGTGTGGCGCTGCCGATTCAGTTGTTCGAAGCCGATTTCTCCGTGGAAGCGGTTCTGAAAGTCGACCACCCTGTCGTCGTCTGACGTGTCCTTCTCGTCCGGGTCGGTGGGCAGGAGTTGTTCCTCCGACTGCTCTGATTCCACCCGGTACTCCTGCTGCTCGTATCTCTCGTACCAGGCCATTTTTACTGCATTATGAAATAGAGAATTGATATACTATGCTGCCAGACTCTATTGCCACGTGCACGTGATTCGATATGATATTGCAAACGTATAAAATCTGTTTGTAACGGTACCGTTCACAAGGTCACGACAGTGATTAGATTAATTATATATATATTCCACCGAATGCAAATTTACGGTAAGTCCGGAAATCAGACTTAAATAATAGTTCCAAAAGTACCAGTAAGCAAAGGACACTTAGGTTATAATCATGTAACGTTACTCATAAGTCGATACAATACAAAAGTGGCCGACAAACCTTTCTATGACAGCAAATACACCTGCGATAGTATTACCTTAACAAACAGGTGTCGGTTCTGTACCCTACGCTACCTTTGTCGTTTCACCTTTGACCCCAATCACGTAGAAAGCATCGAAACTAATTTGCGCATTTGTCACTAAATGTTAAAAGTGTACCATGAATAGCAGTTCCGTCTCGTTAGAAAATGTGCGTCTAGAATGCTTTATTCTATATATGTCAATTTTACAGTCTTGTGGGCGCTTTGAGTGAAAATGCGTCCGAAATATTCTTGGCACTGAAATAAAGTTGCTCATAGATGCGGTTATGCGATTAGGGGCAGGCCTGGCCAGGCCCAAACTTGAAAAGAGTTTTTTATGTTATGTTATGCAACATTGTAACAGCTACCCTTATTCACAGGAATTAATAACTTATTATGCTTAGTAATTGTACTGAATACAGTGCAATTCAGTTTGAATGCCAATGAATTTTATCGAATACAGGGCAATTTTAGTCATAACTAACAACTTTTTTCGGATATTGCTTATCAACTTCACAAGTAAAAGTGTTAAACGTTACATCCGTCAAAATAAAAGTAGACAAATTTGCTTAAGACAACGAAAATGGATACAGAAACTGTTGGCCAATATTGATCACTCAATTGAAAACTTCTTTTTGATGCAGAGTTTTTGATGGGAAGCCCTAATTATAACAAGAACAGTTTTCTTACGTAACAACTCTTCCGTTTTAAAAGAAGCGTGAAAATGAATTGTTACTGTATTTGTGTTTGTGATCGTCGTCGATGTTCCTGTTCAATATTTCCACGGTATACTTTTCCTTCGGTCCGAAAAGTTGAAAACAAAAGTTGTGAACTGTAGCGATGTCCACGAATCAGGTCGCTCTCGCGCGGTCTCGTCGTTTCTCGCCTACGGCGAGATTTAGTTTCACTGGAACATTTCACTGGTTTCCATCAAAAAACGAGAATGGCAAACCCGCAAGTCTCTCGCTTCGCTTGCTTGAAAATCGAGGATGATGAAGATGACACCAGGGAGGAAAAGGCACAGGGCACGTCCCAGAACAACAGGCAGGCCGCCAGTGCTAAGAGCAAGAAAGGGAAGAAGAAAAAGAAGCAAAGCGACAGCGGCGTTACAAACGAAGTATGGATACTACTACGTGACGCCCGTCACATAATCGTACTACTACACGCATGTGATCTGACCAACGTTATAGTCAACCTTCTTTAGAAGCAGACGTCTCAAATGTGTACAGTATAATGTACATGTATCAAATACAGCTGTAATATGTTGGCTAACTGAACGCATCTTTCGAAAGCATGCGCTTTTCATATCGGGATTCGAAACCGTTATCGCCCCCCTCCCCACACAAAGCACATTTTGTTATGAAAACATTGATATGCATATTATTAGTACAGGGGATGGTGTTACTTAAACCTGTCTATCAGGTGGTCAGTGTTACAATTATATTATTTCTTTAATTCAATGTTGCTACAGAAAACACAAGATGACTACTAGTACATATATAGTTATTACCTGCTTGCATTGTTATGATGGGAAGTTAATTGCCTTATAGTTATACACATGTGTATAAATAATTAATCACATATCATGATACAGTTAAAGCCAGTGAATATGTCGTATCTGAATTTAGGAATGTCATTGGGTCCTTTTTAACAGAAATATTAGTCTTCAGAAGTTGTATTTGTTTATTTATCCAAATTGCTTTGATCACAGTACCATAGATACATAACGTTACATGTTGACTTTATATATTTTAGCATATTATATACGCATGTTAGTAATGCCATTGCAATTGTGCACTTTATTTTTGGTAACATTCTAATCTCCAAAATTAGAATGTTAAACTCGATAGTTGATTATTTAGTATGATAGAAAGTTTTCTGTTGCTACGTAAAAGAACTTATCTGGAGACATAGAGAAAGAGAGAGAAAAAGCCAGTTTGACCTGTATCTAATCCACTCTATTTGGAATCAGGCAGTTTATAAAGAGTGCCCAATATGCATGGAGTTCCTGGATCGTGACGGGCGCCGTTTCTTCCCCTGCCCCTGTCGGTACCAAGTTTGTGGATTTTGCTGGCACAGAATTCTGAATGAGGGTGATAGCAGGTGTCCGTCCTGCCGTAGTGTGTATGCACGTTCCCCCTGCAAACCCACTCCCCAGGTATGGCTGGGTAAGATGAGTGAATTGTCACACAAAATAACGCACAGGTCTAAAGCGTGGCAATCTTTGTGTGTTCTTATATGTTTACCAAGAAAAGAACCTTTTTACAGTTCCATTGCACAATGGGAGATGCAAGGCACTGTGGGTAATGTAGAGCTGTGTAATGATACACAGTACTGGTACTGTACCAAAAAATGTATTCTTAAAAGGTACAGGTCAAAAATACTATGAAAACACACACTGGACACAGCATGCACGTAATGAATGATGCTGTTTATCAGTGTGTTACCCATAGTGCCCTTTGTCTCCCAGAATGCAATTAGGAATCCATGACCATTTTAAAAGGTCTAAGGTATGGCTAGGAAAAGTCGAACTAAATTCTGTTGACCAGTGTGAATACTTAACTCTAAGGAAGGGTTTTTACTAATGTAATTGCTTTTGTGTATAACCTGAGACATTTAGGTACAAGTTATTACAACTTGATAATCATTAATGATATACTGTAGGAGATACAAATTCTGTACTCAGTGAATTCTGACCCAAAAGAATTTCACAGTTTTCAACACTGTGAATGTAACAGTGGATGATAGAAAACAATTCATTACTAGCATTATTTTGTGTCATCAGCCAGCCATACCTGTGGTTCAGGACTTATGTATATTTCTATTGTCCCCAAATTGTATTCATGAAAAACTGTGTGGTGAAAGTCGTGATGACAAAAATTTAGACTATTATTCTTTTTTATGACTACAAATTTCCAGCTGCGCAACTTGGCCTTTGGACTAAAGAGTGGAGCCAAGCCCAAGCCAGCACCTGCAGCAGCAGCTACAACACCTGCACAAGCACCTCCAATAGGAAGTGGTGACACAACAACCCACGGTCCAAATGTAACAGCCTTGCCCATTGGTGGTGGCGGTGCCCATGTGTCAAGTACTCATACTAGGAATGGAGAGGCAGCCCACCAATGGGAAGAGTGGAAACTAAAGGATGCACAGGTAGGTACTCTTTCTTTTGTAAGATGTGATTTTTAAGAAGGTATATGATTGGCGGTAGCTAAAGATTCTGTACCCATCTTCCAATAATTTATATCTGTCACATTTGCACATGTATGTGATAATCCAATTGGCTGATTATTATAACTGTCGCCATACAATGTATTTGTATTTAGGAACTTCAAATTAATTATTAAAGTAAATTTAAATGTTGGTGTACCTGGGATCTGTTAATATGGAGTTATAATACATTTGTATTAAGTCAAAGTTATTAAAGTCAAAGTTATTAACAGCCATTGTAAGTGTATCTTTCGTGAAAATAATTTTGTGATTGATTATAGTTTACAGACCATACTTTTGAAGATGACTTGCAGAAAGCCATTATGATGAGCAAGCTGGAATATGAACAACAAAGATTGGTAAGTCAGAGCTTTAGAGATTTTGGCAATGCCTCAGGAGTGGAGACATTTCTCCAAATTATAAAGCTTTGATTTAATTTAATTTCTCAATGAATGTTTGAGCTACCATAGTGTAGAATGTGTTTATTTTCCTCTGTAGGGCCCATACATGTATGTAATTGTATTAATTTCATTGTTAAAAACAGAAATAGAATGATGTTATGTGCATTTATGGTATTACACTTCACTACACAGTTACACCATTACAGGCTCTTGGTGTTTGGGTTCCAATGTTCTAAAAGACAATGATCCTATCCACAGTTTTACGACGACCCAGCCTTAAAGGCAGCTTTAGAAGAGGACAAAGGTCCAAACCGGAAAGAGAGAAGGAAACATCTACAGGGGAAGGACAAGCCTGTCACCATGTCCTTAGATCAGTTTCAGGCAGTGGCAGGTACGGGGATTTTTCTTTTATAATTCCATGTTGACTTGATGACGTGGATGACACCCGTGCACGCATGAATTTTTGTGGAGTATGTATTTATGCAAATAAAGTGTCTTGTGCACATTAAGTTCACAGCATGTAATTTAAATTTCATGTGGAAGACTTCAATATGCAATTTGATGATACAAGAAGTCATCATAAGTATATTACATGACTGTATACGTACATTTCTAACTTAACATGTGCTTCTTTCCTACTACAGATGCGGAAGAAGACTTGAGAACAGTAGTACCACAGGTAATAAATGTTTTCCCTGGTCATACTTAACCATGAATATGATGATGATGATGATGATAATGTTCAATTTTTTGTATGACATGAATTCTTTTTGCCATTTTGTAATGGAAAAGTAAATGATGTACATGTATAGTGTTTGAAGTTATGTATTATTTGTACCATATGTATGTATTATTTGTCTTCACCTTGGTAACCTATGGAAATTTAGTACTATACACGTCAAATTTAATTTGATAGGTTGGTCACATTTCTTGTACATAATCCAACAACATACTTTTGCAGCTATAGTGAGCCTATACCACTCAAAACTATTGCAATTCCCTCTTCTTTATCTTCATTATATCTCATAGGCAGTTGTCCAGAGGACAGAACCAGAGGTCAAAGAGCATAAAAGCAAGAAAAAGAAATCCCCCGCAGCCGAGGAAGATGGAAAGTTCTTTGACAAAGTAGAGCAGGACGCGAAGAAACTACTCAACATCGAGAGAAGAAAGGAGGAACTTAGAATGTCTTCTAAATCTTGTGATGTAAGACATATCACAGACTGTTCTTGTTTATAACAGCAAATTGCATATTGTTTTTGCTCAGTTTTTCTTTTTCTGTTCCAAACAAATTAAGTCAATGACCTGGACCAGATGTCTGTTACCATGGTAACTGTTGCTGTAGCAGACACTCTGTTGGGTTACATTATGTACAGTGTAGCAGTACAGTAGGAGAACCTGCTCACTATACATATATTAAGTGTGTTTGGCTTTGAGTGAGAATGAACAGTGCAGTAGTTTGTTGGGCCATACCAGTTGAAGGTAAACATTGTGCATTTGCTTTCCAAAACTATAATGTTACCTTTCTGCATTGGATGTCTTTCATTAATGAAGAAATAAGTCATATGAAGTCATAACTAGTATCGTAATCTTGTATGTCTTTGTTTTCTTCAGCATGGAGGAGGAGCTGGCATCAGGGTTGCTGAGATGCAGGTAGAACTAGAAGCAAAAGACTTGGAGATGGCGGAACTCAAAGAAGAGATGACAAAATTAAAGGTATTTTTTATGTCTACCCTGAAGTTGCAATATACTTCAGTTCTAAAGGACAGCATACTGTTTTAGCTCTTTTTCTCATACAAGTTGTTCTTCTCCAAGCACATAAGGTCAATGACCTGGACCAATCTTCTGTCACTGTGATAACTTACGCTGTAGAAGACACCCTTTTGTGTTGCATTACATTATGTAGCAAGTTAGACTGACTGGTCACCATATATGTCTATGTGCTTGAGAAAGAATAAGTATAGCAGTAGTTTGTTAGGTTAGACCATTGTGAACATTATGCATTTGCTTTGGAAATGTTAGTTTTCTATTAAGCAGAGTAGTTCAAGGGTTTGTGATGTTTTTATCCTGTTTTTCAGAGTGACCACCTGCAGGTCAAGAAAAGGAATAAGCAGTTGCTGGTAATTCTGGCTCAGGGAGAAAGTGAGTACTATAATTATTGTAAATTCATTCATTTCAAACTTGCAGCACTTGAATTCCAGAGCACTGTGCAAATCAACCTTTTGTACTCATTGGTGGGTAGAAGGTGATTTGACAGTTGATTGATAGGGAGGATAGGTGGTGTAATACCCAATTGTATTGTACCAGTCTTCCCAGTTCCAGAAGATTCACAAAAAAAGTGGCAGAAACCCACGTTGCTTCCCAGAAGCCTGATCTCTGGTTTCTTGTTGTGAAAGCTGTGACATGGTACATTTGTCTGTCCTGTTGTGTTGTAGTGAAAGACAAGGCTGAGGTGCTACAACAGGTGGATGACTTGAGTCAGATCAGAGATGAGCTAACACAGGAGGTGGGTACTTGTCAATACACCTTTTCACTGTTACTGTAAATCACTGTTAGTAGCTTTTAGAGGGTTATATTGCTTATATATTCACAGTTTGCGTGGCTATTTCCTTGAACAAGTAATTTGCAGACTTCTATATCCTGCACCTGCCGCCACCACGAACATATAGTTCAGTGAAAACCTCCATTTTTCTCAGACCACGCACATTTATTTCCTACCTCGAACATAATTTACAGTAGCAAAGTGATTTACAGTAGCATACACACGCATACATTAAACTGTAAATCCATCCCTTTTCTTTCACATGAACTTAATTTTGCAGTAGGAATTAGGAGGGTTTTTTTTAGCTTTTTAGTTTTAAGTTTGTGGTTGAAACAATTCTGTTGTAAAGTTATTAACAGTAATACAATAATGGTTGTGAAAACCACTACTGCAAACATTTTATGACTTACAGTATGTCTCCATTGGACAACCTTAATCATATTTACAACATTCCATGCTTTCAATGTTGGAACAACAGGATGCCAGGAAAAGAAGCTAGTATATACAAGGGCATGTATTGACATTTCAATAAAGGTTAGACATCCAGGTAATGAGATGTACAAGATATTGTTACTCAAGCAACTGGATAGGTTTTCAAAGCTTATATCCTGGCAATCATTTCCTGTGTTTTGCATAAAAGGGTCAATCTTGCCTCTCTCTCCAAAACTACCACCCAGGTTGCAGAACTCCACGCAGCACTAGAGCAGGAGAGGTCAAAGGTCAGCACGCTCAAAGCCGAACTTCTGAAATATCAAAAACATGGAAAGTGAAAAAGAGGAGTCTGAGGGCTGAAATGTCTTCCAGTGAGCTGACTGACTGCTGCTTATGGTTCCTTCTGCCTTCTTTGGTAGATAATGAAGTTCTGGTTGTCATTTCCATTTGACTGTTACGTACAATGTGTGAACATGGCCTTGGTAAGAAATCTTTGTGCATTGTGTCACTGAAAACACTTGACAGTACTTTTTTACACAACATTTTTCAGAAATTTGATATCTTTTTTGCCCTGCTATGGCATCATAAGTTACTATGAATCTGCATTTGTTGCATTTTGCTGCAATGTGACGCATTCATGTGAGAAATACCCCCCAATCACCTTGTATAAGTCAATACATCATAACATTTACCTATATTTCCAATCTTCTACTTTTTAGTTTTAGTATACTCTCTAGGGTCAGCTCCCTGCCAAAAGGACTGTACCCACACATATTCTGTCTGTTATTTGAATATGATTGGGTGAACCTGATTGGTGGTATGGGGTCATCCAACCCGCCCACACACGGCAGTTGAATTGCTCATTATGTAATGGACAGATAGAATATGTGTGGTTTGACATTGTGTGTACCTTCATCGAAGTATCACACTGCCTCTGTGTCAACCCAGTGTCATCAGAGATATTTTTCCAATGCAATAGCCAAACATGAACTTCTATTCTAAAGCAATTCCATGCTACATGTAATGTTCTGTACTATTGTTCTATATGCATGTACTGTCTGGTCTAGTCTATGTTGTTATGGCAATGATATTGTGTACCCCCTGTGCTTGCAATTTATATTGGTCATCATGTAGACCTGATATTCTGTTGAAGAAATGTTCATCTTTTACATGGTACAACAGTAATGGATTTCAGTCCTCACATATACTCGAATGTTCAAACTGTGCAATTATACAAAAAAGCAATAGTTTTTTTCTTTTCCTGAGTGGGAAACATGAACTGGTATAGACCATGTACACTTAAACTGACAACTTTTTGCTACGTGGACATGGAATCAATTTTCAGAATGGACCCCACAACATACATGTACACAGTAATTGTTTATCGTGTATGAACATCCATTTGGTTAACTATCCAGTGACGTGTTGTGTTTGAGATTCCTGTTTGATGAAAACAGGTACATGTAGAATGTTATGAAGTTCAAATAGTTGATTAACACTGTTATTTAAGCACCATTGTTTTACCACTGATGTTGTTTCTTGTTTACACTAACAGTAACTTTCTCGATGTATGTATGTTTTATGTTAGAAGAGTTCCTGAGAGGAATAAATATGCTGAACATGTTTGTGCTGCAGTCAGTAGTTTTTTTTTGTCTTAACTAAAAAACATTTGTGAGCAAATACCTGAGTGTATTTTTCTTGCCATCAGCACCTGTTTCAAATGGACCATTTCAGGCTATTATTACCATTGCAAATTGGACCTTACAAGTCACCTGTTTTATAGTTAAATTGCTGTGAATAAATTTGCACAGATCAATTGACTATTCCATTTTTATCACAGTGGTTTGGGGTCAATGTTAGTGTACTGAAGTGTATCAATGGCCCAGTGGTTAGGCTAGCGGAATCAGGATGGAGAGGTCTCATGTTGGTATTCCTTGGAAAACGCACAAAATGATTTTTCTCAATCCACCCAAGGTTGAAGGGGAACAAGTGGATTAACAAAATATGTACAACTTACATATGTTTCTACCAATAGCTTTCTTACTTTTATTATGACACAAGAAGTCCAAAGGACAAGAAATAGGAGTAGAATTGACTACTTTCACGTCAGAGTAGTAGTCAGCAGTACGAATTTGAGTTCCTAGGTGTCGCTGCTAAAAACATCTGGGGTGTTGGAGTCAGCCATTGACATCGATTACATATCCGTGACTTTGAAGTCACAACACCGGCGGTTGAAATATCTTGCAATGTATATTGCCAAGCCCATACGGAGTTATCTATACTTACTGAGATATGTACCAACAAAAGTTTCTCAGTTTTATGATATGGCATCCTTTTCTTCTAGCGGCATACCGCAATGGCCTCAGAGGATTAACTTTTCAACAGAATTATTGATCATTTGCTATTTCGCCAACACAAACCCATGTCAGCTATCGCTTGTTTGCAATGTGGCAAAGGTTGGTACGCATGACTTTGCTTAACCACACACTGAACATCAGAAGCCGGTTAGTGCGTGTATACATGATTGTATACCAGTGGTTTACAATGCAACACACGTACAGAGACTGAGACAAATATTGTAGCAGAACCTATTAGGCGATGTCAGTTCACTGCGTACATTTGTCGGTTCACTGCGTACATCTTTGCATTGGCGCTAGTTTTGTCGCCAGTTACTAGTAGTAGTAAGCCATTTCTTTCAGGGTATCTTTATAACGTTACACAAGAGATGACAACAAAAATACTAACTTCAGATAATTTAGCTTGTACACGTCACTAAACCTCCTTAGTACTAAATAATGCAAAACGACTCGTGTAACGTACATTTTGTACTGAGAATTGGCCGGATCACTGTTACATCTGTTTGGAGATTACAAAAATAGCACCGGTGCCTAACTGTTATAGGTCAGCTGCAAGATTCCCATGACCTTGGTACAGAGTATATATCATTGTATTAGTCACAGTTACACACATCACGTAGTCTGACTCCAGGTTACTGCAAAGATGTGGGGACTCCTGTTCTCATTCGCTGTGCTCAGCGCATGGCCGGCTTGTTCACTAGGTGAGTACAAAAAATTTTGGTAGCTAATCGTAAATAGAGAGGAAACATTCAAGGCACATATATGTCACATATCGTTTTACTAAGTTTGCAACGCTTCAACAAGAGCAACTCCAGAGATCGCTGCCGGTAGAGCTACTAGTATTTAAATGTGTAAAATTATACAGACCATCCGACAAACTGCAATATGTCATGCACGATATACGAGTTATTATGAAGAATACTGACAAAGAATAATTATATCTATATATGTTTCAGTCGACCGGAAGCCTAATACTAGTACGTTAATTGTTATGGTCGCGTTATTTTCACGCCATTCGTTCATGTGCATGAAAAAGTCAGACATTGACATGCACATTAGGTGCCATGATTAGCCCGAATCGTGATAATCCACCTCATGTCTTGTCAATTGAGTAAAGAAAAATCACACCGGTCTTGACAACATAGAATATTTCAGGATATACAAAATCAATGCTAACATGCTAGTCTATGCAAACATACACATGTAAACCCAGTTGTAATATGATTGTTGAATGTTGCTATTCTGAGCAGGTGTACAGGGGGTATCACTGATTTTTCAAAATAGTTATGTGCATCAAACTGCCAATACAATTGCATGTAGAGCACATTGTCACAGAACATTTAAAATCATTCCCCTGACGTGTCTTATGTCACAATGTTGGTTTATCTTGTGTTTTTTTTTCAAGGTAAACCTGAGTTTCTAACTGTCTTCGACGGTTGGGAAATGTATAAGGTTCGTACCAATGCCACTATGACTAACGAGAACGTCCAGAACACATGCCGGGCAGTTGGGCTGTGGTACCCCTGCTACTACACCGGCCACGAGACGTGTTCCACATTCTATAGACCAGAATGCATCAAACTTGACGGCTCTAGCAGCAACAGCTGTCGTACCCTGAGTGCCTTCTCCCACTCGCTGTGTGGGACTGTGGACGCTCACAAGTGCAAGGCCCTTGATGACATCTTCGTGTACCAGCCCGGATACCAAAGCGCGCACGGCGTTGACTACGACGCTGGAGAGTGGAACATGTTTGGAACGAATCACACAGACAAGTACGCGCTGTGTGGAGGTATGGATTCCTAAGCTTCGCCGGCAGTAATGTTTGAAAACACTATAATGTTTCATTCAAGTGTGTCATTCAAATTTTGAAGTGAAATTAGTTGTGATTGCACGACAAGATCGTAGGCATTTCAGCTTGTGCTAGCTATGCGTCTTATACCCAGACCTGTTATCTATGGAATATGGTTTGAGCAATATATGGTTTGAGTCAGACCATGGTATGGCTGAAATACATTGTTTTTCCTGATGTTCCTTCTTCTCCTGCCATTTCTTTGAATGGATTCAATTTCTTCATTTTTGAGCCATTTTGAGTAGACGAAAACCTCAGGCATTTTTTTTTTTCATTTTCTTGATACAGGAGTGTAGAATTGTTTTATTAGGGCTTTTTGGCTGTGTTCAAGGAAATGTATGATAGCAGTGTTTGGTACCATATTTAGAGTGTGACAATGTCTGGGCATGCGGGGACAGGGGCTCCATATCCAAATATGGGCATAGAGACAGAAGCAGGTGTGGCTCTGATTGCAGATGTGGTTGCTGATTGGTTGTTGAGTTAATGACTTTATCTGCTAAAAGGAACACCTGCACATGGTGCCACATTAACTTATATTAGAAACAATGACTTATTTGTTTACAAGTATATTGGCCAGGAAAAAGGAGTGCATTTGGTTATAAATATGGTGAAAATATTACCACATAACCTACATTTTTATACACCTTTATTTTGGGGGAGGCGGATAACAGCAGTGAAACTAAATCTTTTAACCAAATTAGCGGAAGACACGTGTAGTGGTGTGGCCATTCTACTCTAACGATGGTACAAGTACGGCAAGTGTATAAAAACGTACATGTATCGTGCGAATGTTGAAATGTAGAATTTCTTTTATTTTCAAGGTCAGCAAGAGTACCTGACAACCTGGGGCAGGTGGGCCTTTCATAAAGTTCGCGTAAACGGGCTTATGTCCAGTACCAACATGCGAGCCACCTGTGACTTGGTTGGGATGAGCTACACCTGTTACGGCACAGGTGTGGGCACCTGCACATCCTCATGGTCATCCGATTGTATCCGCTTTGACCATGTCGATGACACCTGTCAAAACACCCTGGAGCTCCTCTCGTCTCTGATGTGTGGAACCACCGACGCCTCCAGTTGTCAGCCCCTCTTAAATGTCTATACGATACGTGGCAGTTACGGCTATGGCGTGTCGGAAACAGGCTATGACACCAGTGGATCCGACGATAACGACAAGTACGCCCTATGTGCAGGTGAGTTGCACTCACAAATACAAGTTGTACAATGATAAGCTTGTTTTTAAAAAGCCGTTAAAGGTATGACAGTATTGTGATGATACAACCAACAATCGATGCATTTTGTTGGTAAACAGAGCATGTCAAACCTTGACAAGACACGTTGACAACCTTACAATGTGTATCATTTCAGTCAGACAATGCGACATCTCTCCATGTGTTCATGGGACCTGCAGTGTGCACGACCAGAACTTCACATGTCTGTGTGACTCCGGTTGGAATGGAACTTACTGCGATACATGTCAGTAAAATGTCTTTTATTTCATGTATTTTGCTGTCTTTTGTTTGTTCGTCATGGTTCAAATTTTCAGTCCAAAAGGAGAAGCCTTACGACATTTTGTGTTTTCTTTCAAGAGGTCTGCTACATGCATGTTACAATATACAAATATAATATACCTTTAACTTAGCTGATCTACTAACCTTTCTATAGTGATTGACAGCTGTGACAGCAATCCTTGTTTGTCCGGTGGAACCTGTGTGAATGAGGAGAACGGCTACAGCTGCATCTGTCCTCCAACAGCAACAGGGAACATCTGTGAAACAGGTACTGTCTGTCCTTTGATATGCAAGCACAAGTAACTATTATACATTATAATATGTATGATTATAGCTATAGTCCGTGTTAACATTACTGAAATATACACAGGAAGATACACACGATTTAATAACCGTCCAGGGAGGACTGGCAAGTATTTATTTTTTTTTACAACCACTCACTCATGGTACGTAAAGTAAACATTTGACAAAACATCACTGGAAGCCCTTCAATACTAGTATATGCAAGAACACGTGTATTGTATTGATGCTGCATTCCTTCTTTTTGCCTGGTCCAGTGCTTCACACCGACAAGTGCTACTGGATCTCCAACAGCCCTCTGTCTAACCAAGACGCCTCCGTAATGTGTTTAAAAATGGAGGGTCATCTGGCCAAAGTCAACGACCCTGTTGACCAACAAGTTCTGATCAGCTACCTGGACGATGGACGAAACATCTCGTACTGGACGTCAAACAAGATTTCTCCTACGTCGATGTGCACATGTGAGAATGGATCACCCCTGTCAAGTGACGGTATGTAAAATTATTATGTCCACCTTCGCAGAGGGAAAACATATATATATATATATATGTGTGTGTGTGTGTGTGTGTGTGTGTGTGTGTGTGTGTGTGTGTGTGTGTGTGTATACGGCCTGCTCTGTTAATTCAATTCTTTTAATTCAATTCTGTCTGCAGGCCATATGCATATGCGTTATTATGTTTCTACTTCTTGCTTTACATCAGATTTTAACCGTCCAACGTATCATCAGAAGTAAATGCTAGTAGATGATTAAAACATAGAGTCTACCGTTTGAATTTAATGTATAATTTGGTCCTATTTTCTATTGGCCAACCAACTCAGCCCCGCCCCCGTGGGTATACTCTACTGCTAACGCGGACACGTGCGTGTTGCTTGATGCTGAAGTTGGCTACACTGGAACCTACCAACCATGCACAGAGGAACACAACTTCGTCTGTCAGTCAAGTAAGTGTGCACTAGTGACTTTATGGTCCTTTATGACTCAGGATCTTTACAAAGAATAAACGACAAGGCATGATTTGCAATTACGAAATAGATTAGCACAATCATAATTGATTGAATCATTTATCGGTATGATTTTTCAGAATGCGATGCTCCTAAATACTGATAGTAACTGAAAGTGTTATTACACTTTATTCCTACTTTAGAGGCATTGCCGTGTTATCCACTGAACGAGTGTCTGAATGGAGGCAACTGCAGCTCCTGTTTTAGTGATGGCAGTATCTTGTGCACCTGTCCTGAAGGATACGTCGGTGCCTTCTGTGAAACAGGTAAAAAATATTTTTAATACATCTCAGCAAACATAAAGCAATTCGAGATTTGGTTGACGTTATAATTTATTAGTCTGATATACAAAGTTACGCAGTGAGACTACATTCTGTGCATTACATTATATACTGTGATTGTTGTAATTAAAGATTCCTTATACTAGTAGCTATGGCTTAAAGCATTTGCTTGTCCATGTCTGCTTACAGTCGATTGGTGCCACTCGAACCCCTGTCCGTTTGACTGGACCTGTGTGAACCAAGATGGCGGGATCCACTGTACAGGTAAGACTTTCCATTCGATAAATCACAACTGTCTTATCGTTGAACGCTTCATGTGTGTGACACAGGAATGATTTCATGGGAAAGTACTCCGAATGCTACTTATGCTGTGTATGTGCTATGACAAATGTTAGGGGTGACGTGTTGGACAGAATAGAAGAACACATAACATTGAACGCCATCATTGTAACCGAGACATATTCACCTAGCCCACCTAGTAAATCTGCTAATAAATGTGCAGGGATTTATTTTGAGCTTGGCTCAACGTAATGTAATGTCAGTAATTTCGGATCTTGTAATATGGTTTAGGTCTATAATATGTATGCCACAATCGCCACATCTGTTGTTCTTTGTTGCAGTGCCGAGTGAACTGAGATCCGTGAGTTCCAGATACTGTACTACATCCTCCTGTGCCCCAGGCTGGACCTGTGAGGAAGATGGCTCGGCTGGGTACTACTGTCTTAGTGGCTAAAATCTGGTCACGAGTCTCATCAGGCACAAGCAATTTGATTCCACATGAATCCTGCTTGCCTCACCTTTTGAATGAAAACGGCATGCCCACCAGTGTAGCATTTACAAAAAAAGACAAAACCTTGCAAATCTCTGGAAAAACAACGGTTGAAAGTGTATTTTCTCTCTGTAATAGCAGCACTAAGATGAATAAAGATGAACAAAGATGAGGTTTTTGCAATTTCATTGTTGGTCGAAAAGGGAAGGAAAAATGAATAACGCTTGCTTGTGTGTCTGTTCCCCATAGTATAAAGCCATCTATCACAGATAATGTTGTGAATAGGATGCCAAACAATGAGCTAGCCTAAAAATGTAGGTTTGTTTTCCTTAAATATATTCATCCTTGGGGTAAAACTCAGGTCAGAAGTTTACGGGAGGGAGAGATTTTCTGAATGAAGCAAAATGAACACAACAATGCCAATACCAAAGTTATACTACATTACTTTTGTGTAGCCTATCATTATTGCATTAATGGCCGGGTCGACGTGTATTCTTGTGTACGTGCGTGAGCGTTGTGTGTCTGTCGTGGATTTTGATAACCTTTTTCTGTAAGGGAACATATAATCAAATGTGGCCAGCTTTTACTCTCTTTTCTGAATGTACATTATAATAACTATGATAAAAAATCTATATAATCAAAGGCTATGAGAATCGCACAGCTGATTAGCCGGGAGGTTAATGAACAACAGGAAAGGAAGCAGTCTCTGTTGTGTTTCATCTCTCCGTGGTGGTTTAACGGCTCGATAATGCATTGTATTACGTAATGTTTTTAAGTGAGAACGTGTCCTGCTTCCTTATCTGTTGTCCGTCCCGGCTGTACGATTCTCATGCCCATGATATCGATATCAATAAAATGGCTAAAAGCACACAAAGTTATTGCTAACTCAGTTTCCGTGAATGTGTGCCAAAGGCGCTAGAGCTGGATGTTGCCTTACAGCACCCCGTTTCTATGTCCACGTGGCCTTGGCGAACATTTCAGGCCGTACTTATTCTGCAGATATGATTCGCATTTATACATGTACTTCATTCACACGATAGGCAGAATGAACCAGAATTCCATCTGAATGAAAATCATTTGTATATTTCTGGACATGTAAGGTGCACCGAAGTGGAAAAACATCGAAGGGCATTCAAGACCCACAAGACCCACATTCAAGATCCAAACACATCTCCTTTGACGGGGAAAAATAATTTCTGTTGTCAATGATCGCGAGGGCAGTAACAAAGACACTTGTAAATGATTGAGGGGAGGTAGACAGTAGTACGGTTGATAAGTTACTGATTGCCCTGTGTAAAGACGTGTGTTGGCTGTTGGGATGTGACCTCTGACAGAAAGTACACATACGCGTGTTTATATTGCGCACAATACTTAATATTTTATATACGTGCTTATCCTTGGCATTACTGTGACCCCCACACATAATATATAATCTTATACTGTCATTTAAAATGTAGACGTGTTGTAGTCACTCATTGCCATTTATACGATTAAACCCATGTTTGGTTATGTCAATGAAATTCTGAGATAATTGTCCTATAACTCGAGGTCTTATGGATCGTAACATCCATAGACTAGCCCTTATTGCTGGGAGAGGGTTCTGAACTGATGGCTTAAGGTAGGGTGTCCTTTGAAATGGACATAGGCAATGGAATTGAATTATTGCAACACATATCTAGATCCGTATTAAGCTTGTATAATACAAAAAGATACTGAACAAAAATTTCGAATTTTCCGTTTAATTATGACATAATGGTCGGAATAGTATAGGGTATGTAAGTATAAAATACTGAAACGAGCTCCTTTGTAAAACACATTGTTTAACATTTCGCCCAGAACTTATGTTAATGAAATAAAGACACTAGTGTCATCACCTGTAATGCAGGAGATATTAGCCAATGAAATGTAAATCGTACAAGGCCACCTAATCTCTATTGAGTAACTTACCCACGATGCCCACGCGGTTACCAGTGATGTTCGTCCACAAAAATAGCACCCGAGATTCGGGTCAGATGTGCGGTTCCCATGGCCTTGGAACACACGGTATAAACTTACCTGTACAGATCATTCCTCGTCAGCACCAGCGGTTCTAGCCTGATACAGCCTGGTCAAGAATGTCAAAGCTTTTTGTTTTTGTGGCGGCTTTCGTCGTGTGGACGGCGTCTTCCACAGGTGAGTTTATACTTTAACAAACGTGAAAGGCCCAAAGTAGGAATGAGATTCAAAATGTTGCTCACTCAATTTGATTTTATCAGATTGTAGCAGGGTGTTGCAACACTTGGGCTAATTTTTAAAGTTCCGCATTTTCCCTTTTTTCCGTAGAGAAAAGTGTACTACAAGTGATGGATAGCGATGGGTTTTAGACTTGAATGCATTAATTTACAATGGGAACTATGCGGACACTACAAGGCAGCTCATTAGGCACATAACAGCAATACTTCCTTTATCCTTCAAAGATTTGTTCCAACTCTGAAATCCAGAACTAAAAGGAGGGCACATATTTCTTTGAAAATTGTTACAAAATTGCTACAAAACTGTTTTTATACTATGGTAATAGAATCTCTACGGACACTACAACATGGTAATTTATGACTGTCGTTTTGTTTATTTACAACCATTATCAAGGTGGCTTATGTCAAAAGGCCACCGTTCCATAACATAGAGTTTTTATGTACCCATGGCATTTATATTCCAATTAATGAGCCATTTTGTACTTCTCTACGACACTACACGTTTTCTCGGACAAAAAATGCAGGCAACTGAAAGCCATCTGACATTTTAACGCAAATTAAAAGCAATATAAAGACACATGTTTTGTGTTACATATAGATGGCCAGTCCTATCACAATTTTGGGGTGTACAAGTTTTTCAGCAAAACATATTAGAAAGAGCCAGTCTTAACATAAAACTCAATTCTTTATTTCATTTTTGGTCAATATGTTATCTAAAAGATTATTACAAAAATTGTAAATTTGGGAATTTGGGGCATAAAGATGGTCCTAGGATAATGTTCCGTAAACTTATCGACCTGAAAGAGCCAGGATTATCTGGACAATACTTGTATTTAGAAAACATGTTTGAAAATTTTCGAAAGAATGAAATAAATATTTAGTTAGAATGATATAACAATGCAGGATGCCATTGCTCCACCATGATGATCTTGGAAAAGCCGACTGCATTCCCATCTGGCACAGGTTTTCAACTGAACTGTACTCTAGGTGATAGCTGTCACTTACAATTCATGCAGTACCTACTTAAACTTGTCATTATGTTAAGGTCTCCTAATCAGTGTGTGTAGCCTGTGTGGTCGTCTTTGTAGCAGCCTGTGCCACTCCTGACGGTATTGGGGCCATTTCCTAAATATCCTCCAGGGCATACATACTCTATGTATGCATGTCACCGTCTTGGCTCATCAAGAATACAGGCCCAACCCATGCAGTTTCTCCTTGGTCTTCCCCTTGATCGTTTTTCCATAGTACGTATGGTACTGGTACGTAACGTCTGGTTTTTGATATATCATTATCTATGGTAGATAGCTCTTGCACCCAGGACGAAGTGATGTGTTCTGGAACTGCAGGATAGTTTGTTTTAAAATGTTTGAAGGTGCAAGTTAATACCTTAATACGGACATGGTTACGGATCGTAATGATGTTTGGTATGTAGGTAGCTCAAGCAATTTTTGACATCATCAATTACAATTAAGCAAATCGGTATCTAATCTGCATAATTATTTGCATATCTGTGTACTCTAATATTTGTTCAGTCACTGTGGTACTTCGAGGCAAAACCCGGCCTGTGCCCTCGGTTCAAATTCTGTTTCTGAATCAACATTACCTTGCTAGCATGAGTTATGAGGCTTATTTTCCGATACGTAGTGCTCACATTGTTGTAGGTTGCCTCTCTTAGGGTGGGAATATCAAGGATTGTGTCCATGTTGTTGGCCATACCCCGGTCTCTGTCATATCTTCTTGCAGATTTTTGTAAGGATATCAAATACCTGGGGCTTTGCCTTTTTTGGTGTCTTCAGTCTGCCTGTCTACCTCAGCTACTTACTTTTTATTCACTGTGTTTGGGGTTTAATTCGCGTTACCAGCTTTGTACTAAATTGTAGTCCTGTGGTTTTTCTACTCTATGGTGACGCCTCAGGGAGGAGCCTAATGGTACAGTATTGTGTGCAGTCAAGAATTCTGGGAATTGCACAGGAATTTTATCGACAGGCATTGGATGTCCACAGGAATTTCTCCCAGCTCTGGAATTTCGTTGACACATATCTATGCCAATGGACATTCCTACCTACTAAAATTCTTGGGACATTGTGGAAATTGTACAGATTTACAACTAAGCGTCGGGCAAGGTACGCCGAAGCGACGCCGTAACCTCATCGGACCAGGCCGGGTCCCGCCAGGCGGCCGCACAGGCACCTGTCAAAGATTATGACGTCACGTGTGCTGATATGTAGTTGTTCAGAAGAGGGTGGTTATAGAGGGTATTGTGATGTTCTCGACATCATCATCATTGAGTCGTAGTGAACATACATGGGTCTGCGCATCAACCAGGGGCGAACCCACCATACCAGCCAGGGGCGTACCACCCTGGACCCCACCATCTCTTCTTTTGAATTTTCTATTTCTGTCTCAAAAACAGCTATATATTTCTAAATATCATTGCCACAAGTGATGTTATAAGCAGAGTGCATCTAAATTCGCTGTTTTTAGCATTGCTACAATTCAAGTCACCAAGGTGACCTATTATTTGAGTAATTAATAGTGCACACACCCATGCTACCCAACCAGCTATATTCCCGTGTTAGCCTCCGGCCAACTTTTTAAAAAGCTTTCTTGTTTCCTTAGTGACCTATGTAGCTGGGTGTGGAGGCACGCTGACGGCTCCCCCTGGAGGTGTTGTGACATCACCAAACTATCCCAGCAACTACGGCAACTCTGAGTACTGCAACTGGTTGATCACCGCACCAACACCTAGCATAATCCGCCTCACGTTTGAGAGTTTTGACACTTATCACAGTAGTGACTATTTACTTATTTACGATGGAGACAGTTCTGGTGCTGCGCAGATGGAGAGGTAATTTTTAAAGACATTAACAAATGATACATACTGAGGTAAATTGCTAAACATTTAAGTGTTTTGGTAGCGTTTGTTACAATGGCATAGCTATGCTGGACAACTTGTGCTACCTAGGCCTGGTTGAAAAAGATCATCAACTGATATAATTTATGCAAATAGGGACGTTATGTGCATAAGAAACGAAAAGCTTAAAACTCCTGTAATACTGTCGACGAGCTTCGGCCGTATTTGTTTATCACCGAAAGATCGCCCAATTTTCAGATCAACAGAAGGTCACGCGTATTTGTCGCCTGCAAATTGATCCTGTCACATTGCAATCGAGCAAGGCTCGAGCGATACCCCCGGGAATACATCTATGATAAAGAATCCCCCAAGATGTAGAACTACCTCTGCGCGCGGACGAAATAAGACCAGACTATCCTTGTAAAAAATGCATGTCTTATCCGTCGAAGTTTTTATGGAATTAATGGAATTAGGAGCAATAATGTCAACAAGGCTAATAGTTACCTTCGCAAAGAAGGTTACGTTTTCAGAGGCGTTCGTGTGTGTGTGTCTGTGTGCCTGTAAACACGATAACTCAAGAAGGCTTAAATGGATTGTCTTGATATTTGGTAAGTGGATAGGTCTTCATAAGACCTCAAAATGATTAGATTTCGGGCACCCTGGCTGCTTGTTATGGTACTGCAGTGGAACTTCCGGCTTTGATATCTCATTGTCTAGACATGTTAGTGGCACGAAATTTGTATAACAGGTAGCTCTTGTGCTGGGGAAGGAGTGACATAAGTTTCGGGCCCCCTAGCGGCTTGCTCTGGAACTTCAGGGGCGTCTGATTAAAAATACTTCAAGCAAGATAACTCAAGAACGGGTTGAGGAATAGTCGTGATTTTTGGTATGTAGGTAGCTTAAGTGATGCTTGACATGATGAGCTCGAGATGACAATCATGTAAATAAGGAGCTAATTTGCATAATTAATGAGGATTTTTTAAAAACCCGCTGTGCTCCATGATAAGACTGAACAAACTTGTGACATATGTAATTGAGAACAACAGCAGCAGATATCAATTATGTAATTCCAGGCCTAATTTGCATAATAAATGACAAAACTTTGTAATTCCATAGTGGTAACAGCTGGGAATTTCACACTTGCAGCATTTGGAAATTAAATGAAGGTGAACATTATCAAACATAAAGTATTCGAATCAGGACATATTTGCTTAATCTATTAGGAAATGATACAGGGGCCTTCTTTGTTAGGATAAGAGTGTCATTAGATGGATAATGTGATATCTTTCATTATCTAATTCATGATATAAGTCACAACAGGCAAATGATCCTATTTGTATTGTCTATGAGACACAAAGTTTGATTTGTCAGTTGTAAGGTAATCATAATTTGGCGAAGGTATGAGATCGTGGAACTCTAGTTAGAAATGTAATTGCCATTGCATCATTTATCTTATTGTATATGTAAATAGTGTCGAAGTATTCGCCCCCCCCCCCGGTCAGAACTCGCGAACAGTATATATATATATAGAATACAACACGGGGTATTCCGTATCACCCGAGGTATCGGCCCGACCGCGGGTCACTCGCAGGAGGGCCGTGACCGAGGGCGACACGGAATACCCCGTGTTGTATTCTTATCCTGGGAAAGTATATGACCCTTAGGATTTTTTAAAATCCTATCTAACTATAATGACAATAATACATAATGCTATAATACTTCTTATCAGTAGGCAATAAAGCGAAAAACAGGTTTTGAGCAAGAAACACTTGAAGTTTATTCATAAACAGATAAAAATGTGTACCGCACATACAAGTCTCATAACTAAACAAATATGTTGTACACATATTTAAAACTACTATACAGAAAGTTTCTAACCACACACAATATATGCAAGCGGATTGATTGAGCTGGACGGTAGGCCGAAGTTACACAAACAAATAGTCAATTGAGCAATTTCAAGGTCATAAATCAATTTATCAAGTTGAGATGGGTGGGATTAGGGTGGAGTACGGCCCGGGCACGGGCCTCTTGCAAGACGGGCTATAAACAATGGCGGTAATCTGGGGACAATCTCGGGACATCGCCTTTTGTCTCTTCCGGATTCCTGCCTGCTGTGTTCTTTCCTGTGTCAGAACTTTGCCCAGACTGTGTCCAAATACTAGTATCGATTTACGGTTGCCGGCGGCCCAACAACATTCAGCCGCGAGGAGGGGCCACTAAATCCGCGGACGGCAGAGTTTGCGTTACACAGAACTATATTCCTCGCGTGTAGGTTTCTAAGAAATACTTCAAATTTTTTAAAAATGAACCAATCCATTTTCACGTAAAAGCTTATAACAAGCTTATGTCTGTCACATGTTTATAACGGCCTGGAAAAATTAAATCACACACACGTACACAGCCCATAAAATTGGTCAAACTATTTTTGGAGGGCTCTATAGGTTTCTTACTTCGTCGACGTGCAAGATGTGGTGGTATGCCATTATCATAGATGATAGATCAAGCGATCGCCTAAGCCTCGCGCAATTAATGCGACAGGGTCGATTTTCAAGCCAAAAAATACGGGCTAAAATACGCTTGACCCTCTGTCGATCTTAAAATCGGGTAGACTTTCAGGGATCAACAAAGACGGCTGAAGCTCGCCGGCAACATGACGTTAGCTTTCACTTAACGGCGAGCATCGGCCGACTCCTAAAAATCGCCGGCGATCCCTAAAATTCGTGCGATGATCTAGAAAACACCGGGCAAATTACAGCAAAAACTGTCATTCAGAGCTCGCAGACTCATGGGCTGATCGATTTGCACACATTTTAATGTGACAGGAGTATAACGACACGTCAGTTATAGAGATTAACATCATTGGGCGAGTTCATGCATGGAGGTCTTGTTCTGTGTCTTCATCTATGAATCCCTAGGTTATCCGGTCATCCGTCATCAGTCAGCTCCATCACCAGCACATTCAACTCGATATTCCTAAAGTGGAGAACTAACTCTTATGGTAATATCGGTGGGTTCAAGCTCTACTACACAACTCTTCCAGACGCATTGCATGGTAAGCATGATTTTCTTTGTTACCCTCCATGAAAATGGGGGTACTGTTTTTACTCCGTTTCATGTTTGGTCTGGTATCTGAAGATCGGTGAGAAGGAACTGTACGATATTTGGCAGATTGATGGATGGGGCCTTGGAGATTGTGTAGGTTGACTTTGAGCCCCTGGTGATTGACCTTGGTACTGCAGTTTAATTTTTTTATTCTGTTGTTTTCGCGTTATGGACTGTTTGTGCGATATTAAGGTAGCATGTAGTTGTTATTACCATGGTTTAGTGGTTTAAATTTGGGTCCCCTAGCTGTTTGCGTTTGATATTTACAAAATGTTTAATGTTGGACTTTTTGTGTTGAATGTTTGGAAAATCTGGGGGATGGTTTGGTATGATTTTTGGTATGTGGGTAGTTGTTGAGTCTCTTTGTGTTTTGGAGTGCATTAGCAGGTTGTCGCATATTTTTATTGCTTAATTTAAAAGGATTTTCACTTTTTCACCCCTACTTCATAATAGGATGGTCTGTTTGAACCAAAAGTTGGGACAGAGTGTTTTTGTTTATACCTCCAACTGGCAGGTCAGACCCAGGCAGCCCTATCTATTTTTACCCCTAGACAGAGTCTGCAGGAAAATAAATCTTGTTTGTCTGGTCTGCAGGTCATTTGCCTGTCTGGTCATTGACCTACATGTACAGGCAAATGTAGCCTGGGTACCATCCCCAGTAGTATATTCGCAAACTCTATAACAGTTATAGAGTTTGCGAATATACTACTGGGGATGGTATCCAGGCTAAGGCAAATGACCTGCTGGCAATCAAAGTAAACAAACCATGGTAACAAGACACTAAACGCCTGCACATTACAGCTTGATAAATACAAAGTGCCACCACAAATCATTCTGCTGATAAAAACAAAGTTTGACTCATAATATCTCTATTGAAATACACCAAAAGATTACAAAATAACAAGCTATTTCATGGAGGGATGATGTCTACGACTTCTCCTTGTTGTATCTAAATTCTGGGTTCCAGCCAGCGCCCGTTTTTCCGTCATTTGGCGGAATTTTGCCGCTCATGACGGCCAAAATATTTGCCCAATCCGTTATCTTTGTCGGACAAAAATCAATGCGTGCAAAGATTTGGGCAGAGCTTCATTTTCCAAGATATCCAGGAAATTAGTGCAAATTTTCGGCGAAGCCGATTCAGATCATTTCTCACGCCTGCCGGGACCCGGTGACGACCCCAGCTAGCCCAGAAGTAAACAGAGGCGTTGTGGTTGCACGAGGCGGCGTTACGCGCCCCCCTCGCCACTCAAGTTCTGGCCGGTCGACCGGTCACGTATTATTGAACGCGCCGAAGTTTTCGACTTTTGCCCGGTTTACCGTAAAAGCCCAAAATTCTGAATTGCCGGCTGTGGAAAAAAATACGGGTAAAAAAAAAAATCACGATAAAACGCATAAAAAACGCAAATGATAAGTGAAGCACTCTAGGCACTGTTTTGTCACCCACATGACATTTATGCACAAATTGATTAAACTGTCGCGGATTAAGGCGGCACAACACAGTTTTAGCCCTATGGGGATTTCTATAGTTAAGGACCCCAAATTGACTCACTTCGACTCACTGAAAATCATAGTAGGGTGCACAATCTGTATCTGTATAGCCGGTATAACCGCCTTTCGGCGTAACACACCAGCTTCGCAGGCACGTGGCGCGGCGGCAGCTGGCTATATTACACCGATCGACTTGTTACACCTAACCCTTGAACTTCTAGCTCTAGACATTGTTTAAAGCTATCTATTGACAGTGCCCCTACTGTACTTGGTGACAGTGAGTTCCACTCTGCGATAGTTCTAGGAAAGAATGAATTCTTGAACACCTCAATCCTTGGTTGATAACTCTGGTACTTGAATGCGTGGCTATTTCTTGTTCTCTTCTGAGCTGGTATTAGGTACTTAGTAGTTGGGACATCCACCAGTTTATTAGTCATTTTGTACATCATGCATAGTCTAGACATCTTTCTTCTGTCTTCAAGTGAGGTCCACTGTAGGTTTCTTTTCATTTCCGTGACACTAGCACCTCTTACATAGTTGTTCATACAGAATCTTGCAGCTTGATTCTGTACCCTTTCCAATTTGTCTTTGTCTTTCTTTGTATATGGATCCCATACTGTCGCAGCGTATTCTAGGTTCGGTCTTACAAGTGACGTGTATGCAAGTGATTTTACTCTCGTTGGACATGCCCACAGATTACGTTTAATCACTCCCAATGTCTGTTTCGCCTTAGTTGTGATATTATTAACATGTGCACCCCACTTCAGTCCGCTTGTCAGCGTGACGCCCAGATACGGATGGATTTTTGTGGTTGCTAAAGCCTGACCACAAAACTGGTAGCTAGTTGCATGTGGTGTTCGTTTGTTTGTTATGTGCATAATGTAGCATTTTTCGGGATTAAACTGCATGAGCCATTTGCTTTGCCATTCTTCCAGGGTGTTTAGGTCTTTTTGGAGAAGTTGTGAGTCGGTCTGTGTAGAAAGCTCTACATACAATAGACAGTCATCGGCAAATAACCTCACATTTGAGTCAAGCTGATCTGGTAGGTCATTTATATACAAGAGAAAGAGCAATGGCCCCAGGACGGTTCCTTGAGGGACCCCAGACGCTACTTTAACTGGAGCCGACGCCTTCCCTTCAACCACTACTGTTTGCTCCCTGTTGGTCAGGAAAGCCTTTAACCAATTCAGCGTAGGGCCTTGGATTCCATAATACTCCAGTTTTGAGATGAGCCTGCCACGGGGGACTTTATCAAAGGCTTTAGTGAAATCAAGTATTGCTAAATCTACCTGCCGTTTACTGTTTAGTGCGCCAGCTATGTCATGGACTGTTAGTATAAGCTGTGTTTCTGTGGATCGTTTTGCTCTGAATCCATGCTGGTAATCCGTTAATATACTGTAACTTTCTAGGTGCTTCATGATTTGGCTATGGATGATATGTTCAAGTAGTTTGCAGGATATGCAGGTCAGTGAAACAGGTCTGTAGTTGCTGGGGACCGCTCTATCTCCTTTTTTAAAGCAAGGTTCAGAATTTTGATATGTTTAATTTCAGGGTATAGTGTACAAAACATGTGAAAATGAGCTTAGATTTGCCGGCTAGTTCTCTTCTCACGCCCTCTGTTATTAGCGCCACTGCGGAGGTCATGGAACTGCAGCCGACGCACAGTACTAGGCGGGACAAGTATCCAAGCGCAAATCTACGCCGACTGAACACGCACCATAATTCAACTTTTACAGTCTCAAAACTGACGTATTCCTCTAACATTTACCACAGGTTCTATCTCGATGTCTTGCACAGAACAATTTCGGCACCTTTCTCTAGTATTGTGCAGCACTACTTTGTGCCCGGACTACTTCTGACTACGGGGTTCGACCATAAATACTGTGTTGTGCGGCCTTAACAATTACATTACAGATCTATTGGTAACATCAACGAAACAAACAATTGTTTAAATGCATATTGGAATCGTTTAATGAAAAGGCTTACAAGTGTGTACACAACTCCAGTTAAGGTGGGCCTCATGCCATCACATTGAACATTCAGTGGAAAATAATATGACAATTTTTGCAATGGTAATTTTCCCACAACTAGAAGTGACGGCCCCCCCTGGAGGTTTTTTGACATCGCCGAACTTTCCAAGCAACTACGACAACAATGTGCACTACGACTGGTTGATCATCGCACCAGCACTGAGCAGAATCCGCCTCACGTTTGAGAGATTTTACACTGAGTCCAACCGTGACCGTTTGGTTATTCTCGATGGAGACAATACCAGGGCTAAAACGTTACAAAGGTAATGTGCATGAGACATTTAAAACTATCATATATTTAAATTAAAGAAAAAGGAAAGAAAGAATATACTGAAGTAACTGCTAAAAAGATATCAATACACCAAGACACACATATAGAGATAGATATAGATATATTAGGCAGAGAGAGATGTATGAGTAAATAATCCAATGTACTATAATACACCAAACAGCTTATCGGAACCATAACCCAACAAGTACAGCTAGCGTTTATAAAATATAGGTATGAATGAAATATATTGTTTTTCCTCGTGTTTCTTCTGTTTCTCTGTTGCCATTCGTGGATTCAATTTCCTCCTCTTTTGGCCAAATGACCTAAAATTTGGCATGGAGTTAGAGAGGCCGAATATCCCCGGACGTATTTTTTTATATTGGCTTATAAAATTGTTGTGCTTAGTTTTTTTTACCATTTTCTGAAAAAATGTACATTATTTTATCTGAAGCCATGGTATGAAATCCTAATGACCCAAAACTTGGCCTGAGGATACCTTGACATACACCACTTTATTTCTTTATTTCAGGCATAACTCGCCCATAACTTTAAAACTGTGTAACATTATGTTTGCTATTCTCCGACAAAAAAATACAATTTGGCTCCTGTACCCTTAAACTAAAGCCAAATTACATGTGCTTTGAACTCATAATCCCAGATGATCACAAAATGTTGACCACACTTTTATTACGATATGCCACTTTACAATTGTGAAAATGGGATGGGACATATTTGCTATTTTCAGACCAAAAATGTAGTACTACATTTGCCCTGATATTAAAAACAAAATGACATGGAATTTGATATGGGGAACCTTGGGCATATACGCACAGGACATTATTCAAGCTTTTGGCATAAATCACTTTTGAAACTGTGTAAAACGTTTTGGCTATTTTCAGCCAATAAAGTACATTTTGGCTGCTGTACCCTAATAATAAGACCAAATGCCCTGAAATGTGGCGGGGGGGGGGTCCAATGGACACATAACCGCACAACACTACTCACACTTTTGGCATGCATCAATTGTGTAAAATGGTACATTTTGCTATTTTCAGACAAAAATGTACATTTTTAGCTCCTGTGCCGTTCTACTAATAACCTAAAAGTTGATATGTGGGAGCTTTGTACACGTGCCCACAGAATGCTTTTCACATATTTGGCATACACGACCTAAAAAAATAGTAAAATGGGATTTTTTTGCTATTTTCAGATTTTTTGCTCCTATGCATATATATATGCCGTGATCTTAAAAACCAAGGAGGTTCAATACTGAACCCCCTTGTAAAATGATCCGAAGAACATGAAGCTCTTTAAGAGGTTTTTGAGAATATTTGTTATTGAAATGAAATGAAATACCTTTATTGTACATTCATGCCACGACGGGCTAGGTACAGGTCAAGATATAACAGACACATAACAAACGTATATACTATTAGAAAATTGGAGACAAGAGATGCACTACTTGACTAAGACATACATACATAAGGAACATACAAAGGTACTATACTAGGCTCATACAAAGTGTTCTAGTCACTGAGCTAATATAGAGAGGACATTATTGAAATGCACTACATGGGGTTAATTGCCTTCGTCAGTTGGGTATAAAATCAGTTTGCATTAGTGTGGGAGACGGTGGATTAGCGGCATAACTCTTGAAGGCATGTATCGATGTTCACGATTTTTGGCAGGCAGGTTACCATTGGGAGACCAAGGTCAAGTGCAAAAATCGCCTTCGTGGGGGAGGGTCCCTGCGTCACTGCAATGGACATTTTGTGTTTGTCGTTTGTTAGCAGAATAACTCCAGTACGTGCAAATGGATGTTCATGATTTTTGGTAGGCAAGTTACCGTTGTAAAAACCAAGGTTATGTTCAAACATAGTATGGGGGATATCCCTACGTTACTGCGGTGGACCCTTTGTGTTTGTTAGTTTATTCGTTTGTAGTTCAAGTTCTGGAAAAGCAATTGCCTGGATATTTGTATGGTTTTGGGTCATAAATATAGTGACGTAACTTTGGACTCTCTGGTGGCTTGTGGGGAAGTGCAGTGAGCCTTTTTGTGTGAAAATTTAGAAGGGCAATTCATCCCCTTGATTCTATCTATTGTTACGAACTAAGGGGAATTGAGACACTTTATATTTGATGGAAAAGATTGAAATGTTGTGTTTGCTCCCGAGCAAATCTAGGCCTTTCTAGCTTTTTCTATTATTTTACACCTATTCCTTTATTTCAAGGCTATATCAGGTTATCGGTCAGTCAGACATATTACCAGCACATTCAAATGACAATGCCATACGTAAGTCATAAAGGTTAACATTATTCGAGTATGAGGTCGTTGAACCCCTGCTATATATATTTTTTATTTATTTATGAATTCCTAGCCTCCATGGTCTTCAATCGTCAGTCAGCCCCATCACCAGCACATTCAACACCCTGTTCCTGAGGTTTATATCTAACGGTGACAGAACGTATCAGGGGTTCAACATCTCCTACACGAGTGTAGAGTTGAATTACACATCGCACAGTAAGCACGCTCTTCTTTATTCATCTCATTTGTTTGATTTGCGCCTGTGATCTCGGTTCGCTATGTTTCATAATGTGTACATACTCCAAGGGCGGTGGATACCCTTCAGGATACTCTTTGGAAGAACAAAAATTCAACGTTTCTTTTTATTGTTTGTTTGGCCCGACAAGGTCAAGTGTATCTGACCACAATCGGCGAATGGAATTTTTACAAGATTCCCACTTCCGGTCCCATGACTAACGCCAACGTCCGAGCGGCTTGCGAGTCGGCGGGGCTGTGGAACCCCTGCTCCGACACCGGCTACGGGACGTGTCGCCACGGCCGGTCGGACTGTGTCGTGTTTGACGGCGGCAGCGCGAGCTGTCGTACCCTGAACGTGATCTCAGACCGACTGTGTGGAAACATCGAGCCCCAGACCTGTAAACCCCTCGACGACACCTTCGTGTACTCCCCCGGCTGGCAGAGTGACGACAGCGCCTTTGGAGTCGACTACGACACGGGCCACTGGGGCATGACAGGGGCAGACTACACCGACAAGTATGCTCTTTGTGTAGGTAAGAATGTTTCCATAATAATACATTATAACAATACCGCAAAAGCTAGCCTCCTTCGCATATTCACGGCGGTCAATTCGTAGGGTAAAATTTCCGATTCCACGGAAGGGTATCAGGTTACCGGGGTTCTACGCGCGGCTTCCGAGGAGTCAGTCTAAACGGTAAACCTTTTCTTAAACAATAGTAAACAGTTTCTCGGGGACTTTCTTGTCCAAATATGATAAAATCAGCGCTGCATATACCTCAAACGTTGTTGTTTTTATCACAATGCGTAAATGTTTGTGAAATCACTCTCAACGCGTCGAATGCTTGTTCTAGTACAATCGACGTAAATAACCAAACTACTGATTTAAACCGACCCCAAATCTCCCAGAAAATCCTAACTTTTTGCTTTTTAGAGAACAGCATAACAAAATTAAGATTTGAGTCGGACAGTTTTCTCTATTTCAAAGTTAAAGTGTTGCTAAGTTTGAAAAATTTGCAAAAAAAAGTGGTTTCTCTACTTCCAAGACCGATAATTCCAGAATGCCGCCATCTTTAAAAAATCCGTCCGACACAGATCTTGATTTTTGTCTTGGCTACAATTCAAAAACTTTTTGAGGTAAATTGAATTTGTTTTTGTTGAGGTTGAAATACCATGTTTGCACGCATGTTAGGCCGTGTGAGTAAGTGCAGGTGATAACTTATATCTCCGTAAACAACAATTACGATCTTCAAGGTCACACGAGATAACGGCAGTAACTTCGTTACATGTTACATATCCACTAAAAACAGGGCATAGATGTACTGTTCCAAAAAAATGGCTTATATTTGTGAAAAGGTGGATTTTTTACTGTTAGACGGTACCCGTGTAAAAACGGCCGCTTGAAGCCGCGGGTTTACTGTGCATGACCGCGGTTGACCCCGAATCGAACGAACGTTCGGTTCGATTGACGTCATATCGAATATGATTCGGTTCGATTGACGTCATATCGAACATGATTTGGCGCGAAAAAAGGTTGGAATATTTGGGCCCAAATTGGACCATCGTGATTTGTGGGGCGGCGGCTTTAATTTTTTTCGGCCTACTCGTGTTATGCCGCGGAGGGTCGGTTTTGGCCGCCGACGGAGTGTGTGTGTGTGTGTGTGTGTGTGTGTGTGTGTGTGTGTGTGTGTGTGTGTGTGTGTCTGTGTGTGTGTGTGTGTGTGTGTGTGCGTGCGTGCGCGTGCGTGTACACATACACAGATATCGCTGGACACAGTAGAAAGTCATTGCATTGGATTGGATAATATGTATACTGATTTTTTTCCCATTCTCGCTCGGTATCTGACTGACATTTAAAAATCTATTCGGATTATTTTTCTCTTTAAGGTCATCACGAGTACCTGACTACCTGGGACGGATGGATGTTTTTCAAAATACGCGTCTTGGGTAGGATGAGCAATGCCAACATCCAGGCCACATGCGAACGTCTAGGGATGAGCTTCCCCTGCTGGTACACAGGTCATGACCCGTGTCACAGCAAATCGTATTGGAATTCCGACTGCATCATGTTCGACCACGCGGCCAGTGCCGACTGTGAAACTACAAAATACCTCTCCAACAAAATGTGTGGAACCACAGTTGATTATAACTGCCCGGCCCTCAACCACACATTTGTGTACTACCCCTCCAATTCCTACAGTAACGGAATCAGATATGGATCTTCAGGCACTTTGGCTGGAAGTTCCTACAATGACATGTACGCATTGTGTGCAGGTAAAGTTACATATCTTCATGAAATCTTTAATCGCAGAAATGCATCTTACCAAATTAATCTAAATTGTTTTTTTTTTCAATGGAATTGTTACTTGAATATTGACTTTACTTGATCCACTGAAGTTTTCCCAAAGACACTTTTTCCTCTGTACTTGTACTTGTACTTTTAAACAATGATGATAGAGAAGCAAGAAAGGAAAATAACAGCACGTGTCGACAAAATAAAAACAGCCACGAGTTCTTACTTTCATTTGCAGCCAAACAGTGCCAGACCTCCCCATGTGTACACGGGACCTGTGCGCACTTACTGGATGGCTACACCTGCTTGTGTGACGAGGAAGGGAGCGGAGACTACTGTGATGCAGGTCAGATACCTCTAAACATTACCGGTATCGTAGAATTATGGCACGCACATACACGTACACACATGCGCGCGCGCACACACACACGCACACGCGCGCGCGCGCTCTTGCGCCTTCCGCCTTTCCCTGAAGAACTGTGTGTGAAAGTGTGCCTTTGGCTCGCGACACATGCCTGAACCACTGAAGTTTTTTCCAGGAAACTGTCAAATGGGTCATGCAAGGTGTTGATGCGTTCCCTGACTTCCTAGTATGTCCAGTGAACCCGTAGCAGCCTGCGATAACAGAACGCACACACGCACACACACACACACTCACATACATGTTCATGTTGTGAAATGCTTTCAACTCAATATATCATCATGCAGGATGAACATTACTGCAGAATAAAATGCACCATGCAATAGCAACGCACAATCCAAGCGATTCTTTTAACCAGCTGTTTGTGACAAACTGTAGCTTCTTTCTTGGCTATTTGATTCCCTGCAGTGATTGACAGCTGTTCAAGTAATCCGTGTATGTCCGGGGGAACCTGTATCGACGAGGTGGGCGGCTACACCTGTGTCTGTCATCCTCACACGACGGGACGCAACTGTGAAACAGGTCAGATTTTTTCTGCTGCTGACGTGTCTCACTCAGAGCACCAAAGTGGCTGTAACAGCATAGTATCTATCCCCTTATGTCCAAGCAGATCTTTTGGTGATTGCAAAGACATGCAGCAACAAATTGGCCAATCAGTAACCCTTGGTAACTGTCTGGCGAACAGATACTGCCTATCCAATTTACTGTCTTTGCAGTCATCAAAAGATCTGCTTGGAGATTATCTATCCCGTCAAACTGTAGCAAATGCATCCCAAAGCCCCACCCCTCTCCCATCAAAACGTAGACTTGCAAAAAATGAAAACATAAATAAATAAATAAATAGGACTGGAAATATTTGACGGCTATGCTACCACTCTTTCATTAGTCAAGCCGCTAATTGCCATTCGTTCATTGGTTGAACTTCTAATTGTGATGGACAGACAGCATATAGTAGAGGGGATTCATTCCTCAAGCTAACCGACATTTCGCACACGCAGTCAACTGTGATGGACAGACAGGGTCGGTGCATTATAAGGTCCTCACAGTTAACAGACTTTGGTTGTGAAATAGCATCCAGGCTCCTAAAAAGAGACCAGTTTCACTTGTGTAAACACGTTATTGTTTTGCCTCTCAGTGCTACACATCGACAAGTGCTACCACTTCTCCAACGACAGCCTGTCTTACAAGGACGCCTCCGCTGTCTGTAACAGCATGGGCGGGCACCTGGCAGACATCAAGGACAGCGGGGAGCAGCAGCTGCTCGCCAGCTACATACAGCTGGGACATGGCGTCTCCGCCTGGACATCTACCAGTACCAGCGTCTCTTCTTTCGGGACGTGTGACTGTGGAGACGGCACTAACCGGCAGACTGGTAACCGCCTTTTCGTCAATTCTTACCAATTGTCGATTTGATTTTTGAGCTACATACGTATCAGTGGGCGGGACTGGAGACCTTGCCATGGGCGAGACAACTATTACAAATCTAGCGATTGTGGGGTCGTGTGGCGTAACGACAGAGCGTTCGGCTCGGAACCAAGAGGTCCAGTGCCCTTGGGAAAGGCACTTTACACGAATTTCGTCACTTCACTCAGGTGAAATTGAGTATGTCTGTTGTCCGTTCATGCGTTTGTCTACGTTGGTGGTGGCATAAAAATAAGTTAGAAAAACTTGAGTGTGTCGTAGCCATGTTGACGTCTCGTTATAAATGTTGGAATAGAAAATAAATCTAGATAAAACACATCGTGTTGTTGACCAAGCTTTCGTTCCTTTGATTGTTCAATTAAGCAATCAATCAATCAATCAATGAATCAATAAATAAATACATAAATTGATAAATTAAGGATCATCATTGTAGGCTGTCATTGTCAATTCATTCTGTGGAGGCAGTTTTTTCTACATGTACATTTCGAGGAGACATCTGGCAAAGGAAAATGTCTCAATGAGACAAAGATGATCATAGATATTACATTCATGTCAACCATATTTGACAGGGGCTGCTCCATGGATGCAGAAGACTGCTGACATCGACATCTGCCTGCTGCTGGACAGTTCCGTGGGCTACATGGCAACCTACCAGTCATGTAAGGAGCAGCACCAGTATGTCTGCGAGTCCAGTGAGTACGCCTTAATCATGCAAACTGAATGACGATAGCTTAGTTTTTGCAGGAGGTTGATAGAAAGTCTAGACTCATTGTATTGTACATTATTATTTCCATAACTGGCGTAGTTAGACTTTTTATGTCATCCAATTGCTATCTTATAACGTGCAAACTGAGGGCAGGAATTTCGAGAGAGCAGAACGGTTACCATATAGTCTGATACAACGCATGTTTCATACACCTAATTTGTACAGACAAATTTATATTTGTATTGAACGTATATACGTAGACAAACCATCGATTATGAAACATATCTGTACGTTCTTACCTTTTTACTAAGAAGCGAGGAGAAGTTGAATTCACTTGTAGTTACTTCACAATGTATGTATGTATGTAACGTAATGTTATCCGTATACTAGTCTTCTGCTGTGACCTGTAGTTAACCCGGTGGGTGTACATTCATTAATTCATTATTTCACTATGTGCAGTATCTTAACGCCATGTTTGGTTTGGTTTATCAACATTACCAGACGTGACGTCATGTCAGCCGAACGTGTGTCAAAATGGCGGGATCTGCAGCTCCTGTTTTGATAATTCCACCGTCTTCTGCACCTGTCCTCAAGGGTTCATCGGCACCTTCTGTGAGACAGGTAGAACTGTGCACGTGTCTCTTCATTTTTCTTGAAGACTAAACAATATGTAACTGATATATAACGTTACACATACCATATGCATGCATACAGTAGCGTACAATGTAGAAAAACTTTGATACGTAAAGCTTCGGTCACAACCCGCCGTACTTGCTTCTGCGTGTTGTCTACGTGCAAAAACGTGGGCAAACGTAGGGCATCCGTGCGTGGTGAGTACCACCTCGAGCTCCGTACGGAATCCTACGGATTTGGGAGCACGCAGACACGCCGTAGAACTACTCTCCAAGCAGAGGTTTGGGCTTTGGCTTAATTTTGGCGTGCTTTTTTTATCGGGCTTTCTTCTTTGAACTGGTATCTTACAGTACAAAATAAGGCCTAAAACACGTATAAAAATAAGGCAAATCCCAAATCTCTGCTTGGAGAGTAATAAAACACACCTGTCCATCAGTTTCTCGGGATGCTATAATACATATAACAAATGTTATTCATCAACATAACAAGAGTAGTGTTGTACCAACGTCGTAGACAAGACTATAGCTAACTAGCACCTCACTGTTTACTTTTTTTGTCTATTTCAGTTAACCAGTGTGACCCTAACCCCTGTCCGTTTGACTGGACCTGCTCTTTGAGCCAATCTGGTGGGATCCACTGTACAGGTAGGGGACCCCTTTCACCCTGTTTTTTATCGGGCTTTTTGTCTTAGTTGCTTCAACCGGGTCTGTAGTGTTTTGCCTTAGCCTATGCTGTCTCATCAGTTTAGTAAGTTAAAGTGCTGAACACAAGCAGGCACACTGAATCAATAGATCATTTGAAACTATGAAATAATGTCGCAATATACAAGTAATCATTCATCAATATTTAAAGGCATGGACTGTGCCATTATGTCTGCCTTACACTTTATAACCAAAATTTATGGCATGCATGATCAACCAATCAACCAATAATCTATGTAACTATTGCATCAAGAACCGTGCCTATCCTGTTCTATTGCATCAAGAACCGTGTCTATTCAATCTAATTCTTGTTGTAAAAGGAAACGGATAGCTATAAGGCATTTCGTTGTTCCTCCTTTTTAGTACCAGATGGAATAAGAGCCAGCAGCTTAGGCTTTTGCAGCGCGTCCTCCTGCGGCGCCGGCTGGAGCTGTGTGGAGGACGGCCCGACTGGGTACACCTGCATCCGTGGCTGATGGACGACCACAAAAACAGTACTGAGATAAATCAGTTTACCTCCCGTAAACTATGTCTTCTGAAAAAGACTTTAGTACCCTAGTAAGTTTGAATGCATGATTTTATGAGGGTAATGAAGTAAATGGTAGGTGCCGTAACATACAACATTCCTGTCTATTGGTGGGAAAATGAATAGAAAAACTTTCTTTGATACTCATCTATTCCGAGGATTGTCACAGACCACCTTGTAACAACTGGGTACTAGAACTTTGGCCCTTAAATTCATTCAAAAAAATTACCATGAATTACAATTGACAAATAGGTTTGGAATATGAAAGGGTTGAGGAAATTTAAACCTTTGCGTCTCTAAACGCGCAGCTTTACCACATCATCATCATTTTCAAGTGGACTGTAATTCTAGTATATTATATGTAGATTCTACATATAAAACATGTAAAACATCTACCAATATATACACCTGTAGTAAATCTTCATTGACCAATGTCTGATATCTATTGAACTAGTACATGTCGAGAATGGGTCAGTGGTGAAGCAATCGTCAGCACAATTTTTCTTTACTCATGCAGAATCTTATCTCATACGCCTCGCTCAATAAAGTATTAAAGCAACTTGCAATCGATGTCAGCTGGAGTAAGTTCCTCTCGTTGCCGAATATCAAAGGGTTGTTATCAAAACTTTGAAATGTAAACAGGCACGTGTCTATAAATATGAGTTATCAAAGAACAGCACACAGAAGACATCCTCTGTCCACTTTGACCTACATCGGCCCAAAGTCGTTCATCTCGTGTATCGTAATCGGCTGAGCAGATGTGCAACTCTCATAGACCCTAGACGCGACGTATTATTTTAGAAAGATCCAGGAACATAGATAACGAAGTATGATATCGATGACGCAGTGAAAAGGCGGAGGTTCCTGTCGCTTATCTCTTGTGCTAACTGTTAACGGGGGGGCCTTGCCATGGTAGGTACCATGTGCACATTTTCACATAGAAACGAAGTTGAAACTAGAGTGAAAGAGCACATACTTTAAATTGTATTAATCTCCAAGCAGATTCTGTGGGGCAAGGGGAGTCCATACTGGCCTCTTGTATCCGCACGCACATCGTACGCATGTACACACCGACAAGGGTGCGTCAATGTTACGTACATATATGGCAATGTACATCTTTGTAAAAGGTAAGTATTAGAATTACCCACTCTTAAAACAAGTAGGATCTAACATATCCACACTCATGGTTTTGAAGACCAAAATAATCAACACCAAACTGTTTATTCGTGTAGATATGATTAATCCAGAGACGACTTCAAATGTCGATTTTGACATACAAACACATGACATGCAAGAAGAACATGCCGACAGGTAGAACAAGTCTTCCCAACGCGTGAAGTATCAGAAAATACCTCCTGTTACCGAGGTCATCCAGGGCATCGTCGATGCAAAGCAGCGGAAAGAGAGCCCGATTGGCCGCGTACCCTGTCAAGTGTAATACGTCCAAAACAGTACACACGAGCAGAATCACGCCCCAGATGGACAACATCACATCCAGAAGTATCCAGATGATTAGGAGAGCGGCAATGTGAGCGATAGGAGCGTAGGCAAGCCAAACGATCGGGATCATGTAGAACGAAACCGGCTCGGGCGGGCGCATGTCCGGGTAGCACACGGTGTTGTACAAGGCACAGACGTACAGGACAGCAATGTTAGCCAGCAGCATGACAGGCTGCGAGTGTGGTCCCATACAGTTATAACACATGGCGGCGAACAGTAGGAAAAGCACCGGGGCGTTGTTGTGCACGTACAACACGTAAAAGAGTCCGACAAAATCGTAGTCTTCCTTCCTCTCCTTGGTAGTGTGGGCCACTAAGACGGCGATGTTGTCTTTGGGTGGTATCATCTTGAAGAGAGCGTACATCAGCAGGCAGCTGAGGATGTTGGTGAGGAGACAGTAGCGGTGGCGGTACAGCCATGAAGATCTCTGGAAATAAACGTTACTGATGATTACACCATTTCTGTACTTTTCACCGACATTGTTCGCAGGACATGTTAGCTACATTTTTTTTAAATTTGGACACAACAAGAGTTATGATTTGCGAATGACAGCAATATTATAGTCTGGCTTAAATTTCTACGAATAACTATCATGATCCGTTGAAGTTCAGACACCCAGGCAAACAACATTCGCACAAGACAAATCAAACTCTATTACTGGATAAATTACGGAGATTACATCCTGACGTTCTCAGTCTCAGTTCATTTAGTGACGCTGAAGAAGGATGGCGGATGTCATTTGAAACATCCAGAAGTTATCTCCGAGATCTATCCAGTAGACCAGTAGAGTTTGATTTGTTTTTGGAAAACTATCATGATCATTTCAAATTTTGAAATATGATTATGAATTTTGGATGTTGAATCTGCAATCCTTTACTGTCTGTAGTTCTTAGCTATGTTATGAAGCCCAAAACATCTCGACGAATTCGTTGCTTACTTTGTACATCTCAAACCACAGTTGCCTGCTCCAGTGGAAGTCGTAAGGTCGCTTACAGACGTCACACTCGACATACTCCCTGTACGGGTTTCCGGCTAGCCTGCGGAGGTGGTGCAGAAATTAGAACTATTTAAATATACAAAAGTGCATTTGCTATATTTAACCCTAAACAGTACACCTGGGGTCCACGCGGACCCCAGCACTATATATTCTGTAATATCTTTTTTGTTTCTAAAGATTTTTTTCTGAAATTTTAGGTAATTGTCACCCACAACGTTGTCTCGCAATACAGTGAAGAAAACTCCGTTTCTACCATTTATGAAAAAATTATATCTGATTTTCTTTTGGGGTCCGCGCGGACCCCAGCCGGCTTTCGATCATAATGGATACACTGGCGTTCTTATACATTACCTTATTTCCGTTTTTATATGTTTCTATGCACTCATAGTATGTCTAGCAAGTTTTCAGGGAATGGTGTAATAATAGAATTAAATTTTAATAACTTTGGTGTAATTATGACGTCATATGACGTCAGAGCTAATAATATAGTCCGCCATATTGGATTTTGACCAATGACGTCATCAAATTAGCATAATCTATGCATATTAAATGATTTAACTTATATCTAATTATGTAAGATGTTATTAATGTTGGAAAAGACGTGTAATTTAATATAAAAATTTTATGTTTAAACCAAAATTACTTCTATTTTCAAAAAAAATTCCTACTAGAAACCCGTTGCCATGGCAACACAAAAAAACATCAACTTACTAGTATTAAACTAATATGAACTTTTTTCCAGACACATTTTAGGAAAGGTCTCCAAATTTGATACTTCTAGCGCAAGCCGTTTAGCCGCTATCTGAGATCAAAGTTGGGCCTCAAAAGCCCCTTCAGTCTGAAATGGGTTTAAAAATAGGGTATTTCTTCTTGTCTTCTTTTCTTCACCAAAAAATAGAAAAAGTTCAAAATGTATGATTTTTGTATGTAATGTGGACACAGAGGTTCCCACATCAGTTTGCAAAACAATTGAGCTGGTAGCATGTTGATAATTTCTAAAAATTAGCTAAAAACTGTACTGGGGTCCGCGCGGACCCCAGGTGTACAGATTAATCAGTCCGGGAAGGTGTTCTGTTGAGGGTTAAGGAAATAATCTTTCATAACCGAAGTTCATGCCCTAAGGCTAATCGCAACATACAATGTGTACAACATACATAAAGAGAAACAATTGACTATTCTATTCTATTCAAAACTATTCTATTCAAAATACAATCTAAATTTTGGGGGGTTTGACTTCTTTATTGGAAGCTGTGGTAGACGAAATGTCCCACTTTTTCTACAATAAGTGGGTTTTGAGACGTTAACAGGGTTGCAATTTCCTCTTCGTCAGAAAAAGGTTTTGAAGTCTTTAAAACAGTGATACCGATAGATTTACTGGTAATTTCGAATCCTTTCTCCAAATCTATTCATCTATGTCAACTAGTTTGACATTTAAAGTCGGATGGCCGGTTTACTCTACCTACCTGGCAACTATCCACTCCTCCAAGCACGCGGAGTGGACGTACTTCATGGTCCCGTCACAGTTACAGGGGGATATCATCGGAGACGGGGGAGAGGCGGCGTCTGCATGGCAGATTCTAGATAGCAGTGATAGGATCATGTTTACAGGGATTGTTGAAAAACCACTTAGTGAATAAAGCGAGCTCCAGGAGCACTAAACCATCTGTATCTGATGTAGCCGGTATAACAGACCTTATACAACCAATCTTTGCACATCTAACTGCAGGGGTTCTTTATAAGCTTTCTAGGGATGATGCCCCAACTGTGCATGGTGGCATCGAGTTCCACTCTACGATATCTGTATCGGTATAGCCGGTACAATCAAATCATCACTGCAAATCCCCGTCAGACACTAGACTTTAATTGAATTGATTATAAAACAAACAAATAATGTTATCCAATCTAACGCCAGATCCATAAAACCAGCGGGTTTTAAAGGCTAACATGACTTAAACACTGGGTTCGAGTCATTACATCTCTTGTAACATACCTACAAAACGTAACGCAGTCCATTCCAGTTCTCGGCGACACGCCCCCTGTAGTAGCATCTATATTAGCAGCCACAGCCATTTCGTAAAGGATGACAACACAACTGAACAGGGGGTGGAATCCCGGTGGATGGAACGCTCGAGACCGATTTCCCAACGCTTCCGTTCGGTCGGCTCATAAATATTTTCACAGTTTCAACCCATTTTGCCACCAGAACAAACCGGTACAAACATGTTTTTAAGTGGAACGTATTCAAAATGGTCCAACAAAATGTCACAATCGTCATTATTTGCGATATTATTCCTTTGTTATGAACACAGAAGGAACAGGTTTGGTGTTGGAGGCGAATTGTTCCATGGAATCGTATTTGGTGACGTCATAATCTCTGCGTGGCTACCAGATGTGTGTTCCTGTGTAGAAGAACGCACGGTGCTAAATATTGCCAAATGTGCACGAAAAGTAAGTGCCGGCGATAGAAAAGCACCAGAAAACGTTTCTTCAAGTAAGTTATGGTAACATGTTCGGATAAAAATAAAACATGAAATGCTAGTATTTCATTTGATATTCCGTATACATGGTTGACCGATCGGTAGCATCAAACGAAAGGACATGAACGCTTCTCGTTGTTGTTCTTGTTGCGATTAAGCAAGATTTGCAATTTCATTCTTAAACGCACTATTCCATCCTCGACAGCACTTCAGACCTGTCCTTGGTGCTGATTTGCGTCTCATCACAAAAGCTCCTGTACGTAGTGTTGATCCCATATGGTAGACATTGTTACCTTGGCCAAGAAAGTTGTGTTTTCCATAGCGTGTGTATGTATGCAAAAACTTAAGATGGATTGTCATTAAGCTTGGTAGGTAGGTAGGTCTTGATTAGGCCTAGAAATGAGTAGATTTGGGGCCGCTGGTGGCTTTCTTTGGTACTGCAGCAGAAATTCTGGTTTCGATATCTCGTGATCAGCACATGCTAGGGTCACGAATTTTGGATTGTAGATAGCTTTGTTTCACAGGAAGAAGTGACATTTGTTTGGACCCCCTAACAGCTTGTTCTAGAACTGCAAGGCATAATTAGTTAATTGATAATTTTAAAAAATGCAAATCCTGGTGGTTCATTATCAGGTGGTAGGACCACGCCGTACCAAGATGGCGAGTGTGTTTGTAAGGGGCAGAACTCGGCAGGTAAAATTCGCCTTGGAAGACGCGCTACTTGCGTTCAAGGTGGTGAATACCACGTAACATTGTCTTCTATATTCTCGTAACCATTGTAAATGAACGTATTGCAATGAAATGAAGCAAAGACATAGAACAGTGTGAATTATCTACGACGACGTTTCCCTAGGTTTGATTCTACACTTAGTAAAACGGCCGCTGGAGGGCGCCCCTGTGCGTGCCCCGGATGTTAGTCTGTTACCATTAGTTTGATTTTAGGGGATCGGGCAAAACGCTGGAGAAGGTCAGTTGAGCTCATTTGGAACCTTTTCATACGAATCACAGTAACCGGACGTTATATCAAGAACGATGTTACGGTCATCCTTTATTTGCACCGTAGTTTTACTTCATCAGCACCGCTGCCGACCCGCTTAGACTAATTACATTGTACCAGGCTAGGAATCCCTGTCTATCCATCGTGACAGAGCCCTTTTGTTCTCCTAATCTCTCCTATTGTGCCTGTTGTACACGTCGCGTGTGTAAAATACGAGGCGCTGACGGTTATAATTATCCTGCCACGCCATCTATCGTATCTACGTTCTTTCTGATGAATTCATTACCCGTGTCCCTTTTCCTTCATATTTACACATGCGGTAATTTTGCTTTTCTTACCTAACGCAGGACAGGGAGTCCAGTATTCAAAAACTTACAACAAAAGTCATGCTACAAACATCCTTTGTACATACTAGGTTTGTTAACGACATTGGCGTCACCCTGTCTTCTATGCACAAAAAACAATTATAGATATATAGCTTGATATATTATTTATAAACCTACTAATACTGACAGTCGACGTTCTGACACGTACGGGTGGCTAACAATTGAGGACAGACAGAAACAAAGGTATACAGGTAAGTCGTGGTGCTTTGACATTTCTGAGATGTAAATGATTCTGTACTCAGGCTATATACTAGATATAACCTAATGTTCAAAACCAGTTAAGTATAACGTACTTCATAGTAGCGTGCGTAGTCCGGTGGTTAGCGAGCCTGCTTCATGGACCAAGATTTAGAGGTTGGGAGTTCGAACCGTTGTTTCTCACCAGACTTGCATGCTAATGGCAAGGGTGGAAAAGAGCTAGGGGAATTTCTCCAGTACAATAAACTTGTAAGAACTGTACATAGCATCTGTCTGCTCTGTCATGACCAGTAAAAGTGGAGCTCTTTAGTGATCTTTACTGGATCGGGGTCACTTTTACTTTCCATTTCTTTACCATGGTCCCACTGTTTCTACCTTAAGGTTGGCAACGTTGTTTCTATATCCTCACCTCGATTACATACAACAATGGTAGCTCTGACAAAGCGAGGCTTTATCGCCTATATGTCTAGCTGGTCTACCGCTAGATAAATAATAAACACATATAAACAGATAATATACAGAATAATAAACAGAGAAGGATTGTTCTCTATTTTCTACCGGCCACACACACACACACACACACACACGCGTACGTACACACACACACTCACACACGCACACACACACACACACACACACACACACACACACACACGCGCGTACACACACACACACACACACACACACACACATATGAATACTCACACACACACTGATCATACACACACATATACATGTATCTACACACGCGGATGGACGGACACACACACCACACGACAAAATATACAATCAGGTCTACTGATGGACCTACATGTAAGCAATGCATCTAACTCTATCACATGCAGAAGAAGTTTTTAAATAATGTCCACCACTAGATTAACTTATATGTCAAGTCAGATATATGTTTTAGTCTTTGTTAAGAGTAAGAATATAATAACAGAAATCTGAACATATAAGCTTTATTGCTGGCCACCAAACATGTACCAAGGGTCTAAGGAACAAACTAGGAAACTGCAATAAAAGGTGTTGAACCCATTGTTTGTTCATTGTTTATTTTGCCTCTAGGATCGAAAGATAACATTACTAATTATATCCGCGTGTGTAGAA